GCATGCTTTGGTGTGCACATTATCATGATCAAAGACAGAAAACTGTCAACAAACAGTGCATAATTGAAGAATTGATGTTTGCAAACATCAAATGCATTATTTGAGGAAAATTTTAAGTATGTAACTTCATAATTTTACAAATACAACCGATCTGACTTGGATATCTCGAACATCGATTTTGCAAATACCAGAAATATAACTGAAAGTGACTTGAAAGTCCCAAACTCTTATTCTGTACATATGATTTACCCTCAATACCTCGTATCATTAGAAATCTGAAATATTTTTTCTTGCCCCCATAAAGTTCGAGATAATGAGTCATTGTGTTGCATTCTGTAAAGAATTGTTTTGCATTGCATCAGGAAGTCTTAATTGCATTAAATATAGATTATCGGAAATCATGATGGGCATTTTCCTGTGTATAATCATTATAACTCTCAGTGCATACATATTCTTATGCATGCCTTTCTCTTTCATAATCTATTTTTAAATAGTGTGTGTGACTAATTGAATATCTTTTATGAATATACACAGGCAACCACATTCTCCCAGATGAAGATCTCTATTCTTTCTACATTGAACTTCTAAGCAGAGCTGATCCCAGTAAACCAGCAAAGGTAATGTTGAAAATAGAATTAATGTGGAGTAAACTCATCAAATGCTCATTTTGAGGTCTCCTGAAACTTAACCTTAGGCAGTGGAAGTGCAGTTGTATCAATTAAGAGCTCTGGTGATGGGTTGACCAATGTTGACTCCCTGTACAAATAACTACATTAGAATTTTAAAATATCTAAGAGCTATGACTAGCTAAAAAGGTAGAAATAAAGTCTTTGATGTCATTCAGGGTGTTGATTTGACATCATACCGTGGAATCATTTTAATTTGTGGGGGTCGATGTTCATTGGTAGGGTTTGTTTGTTCCTGCAGACGTAATTTCTAGGGTAACTCATAAATACAACAGATGCAATAAATAAATATGTTGACAAAATAAATGTTCGTGGGGATGTAAATTTGTGGATAAGGGTGAACCACGAAATCCACGAACATTGGTCGTCCACAAACATAAAATTTTTGATTCCACAGTAACCAGTAGTTCAGACTTTGTACAGACTGTAAATGATCATATATTGCCCTTGAAATTTACAAGCACTATATTTTTAAGTTATAGCCAGGAAACAGTTTGATCATATTAATCATAATATCATTAAATTCTGAAGCATTCTAAATCATTGAATTTATGTCGGATGTCAAATCCTTTTCAGCTGACTCCAGAAAATGCTATCCAAGCAGCTGTGGATTTTGTCAGGAATCTACCAAGTGTTGATAATCTGGATGAAGTTGGAGAAATCATATTCAGGTAAATCCTCAACACAAATTTTTCATTGCAATTGTACTTTATTATGCACATGGCTTGTAAATTACAAATAAAAAATTGTACCTGCTCACTTGAATTTTTAAAAGTTGTTTAATAGTAATGGTGAGATAATGACTAGATTTACATCTAAGAACAGGTGGATATGATAAATAAAGTTATGGCTTAGGTTAAGGGGTTCACTTGTTTAAAATCCATGTATATTTTAAAATTAGACACGTTAATGAAAAGTTATCTTTTTTAAACAGGAACTCTAAAGGGAACAAGACAGAGCTGGTGTCAAAGTTCAAACAATGTGTACAGTATTATTTAAATGGCACAAACGATGGATTTCTTAAGTACAGGCCTCGGCTTGGGCAATGTGAGTGTACTATTTTAAAAAGACTTCTTTATCATAACAACAAACAGAATCCTAATTGTTGACAAATGTTCATTGTTAATTAATGTAAATTATTTAATGCAGATAAGAATAATCAAAAATGTTTTATGATTCACGCATAAAATTCATCAATAATGTTTATCAAATGAGGCTACAAAGATTTGGTTTATTTTCAGTTGGTGCTACTCCAAGACAAGGAAATTACGCAATGTCACAGAGAAATATTGTAAGTATTGTTACAGAGTGTTTTCAGGTTATGATTCATTTACATACATGGAAATGTAGGCCTCAGGACTCTTAAATATTTCTTCAGCTATGGACATTATTATTAGGGCCCCGCAAGGATTTGCGGGTGCCCTATAGTAATCACTCTGTCTGTCTGTCTGTCTGTCCGTCTGTCTGTCCGTCTGTCATTCTTCCGTCCACAAATTTTCTGTTTTTTCCTAATAACTTTTTTTATGGTAGCCAAATTAAATTCAAATTTGGTATGGTAGTTCAGTAGGCAAAAAGACATATTTTGATGCTATGTTTGTTTCTCTATGTCCTCTGGTTTGGAGCGGGGGTGGTGGGGTAGATTCCTTAACTTTATACAAGAATGAATTGGGAAAGAGAGATAACTTCTGAAAATGTTGTAAACTGAATACTGCAATGAATGAGCCCCTTGGGATTAATTAGCTTTCCTCCTGAAGAAAATCCAAAGCATTATCTTTATCTGTCGCATTGAGATTAATTACCACCTCTGTCTGCAAATGAAGTTTGTTTTGAAGTTAAGTCCATTTGGAATGCTATGAACACTATGAAATGTGGATTGAAGTATAAATGTTTTTACTTTATTTTTGTTGAAATAGCGTACACGATGAGTTCTAATTTCATTGACTTCTAAAAAGAAGAAATAGATTAAAGAAGATATATTTTTTATTTTTATTTGTTTATTTTTTTTTCTTCATGAAAATTCAAGAATATTATTAATTTTTAAGGCAGTTGGATAAAAACCTCATTCTATCATTACTGAAAAAGTTCTTATTAAAAATTAAGAAGAAAATGATGAGAGAGAAGTACAATTAATCCCTTGGGATTAATTATCTAGCCTGCTGCAGAAAATTTAGAAGGCTTATCTTTATCTGTCACTTTAAGATTAATGAAAACCTTTGTCTGCAACTGCTGTTTGTTTTGAAGTTAAGGTCAAGCCTTCATGATATGTATTTGCATTCATTGAAGGCTGGCATTTTATATAACAAAAGCTTCACTATTATTTAGATATACATTCGGTGTTGAGTTGTTCTTTACTGCCTTATGTAAAATAAATACAAGGATATTATTTACAGGTTTTTGGATATTCGGGAATTATCTTGAAATTTTAAGAATATGGTTGCTGTTTCTTATTTGTCATATATTTCTTAAATCATTCCATAAGCTGCACCCTTATAATTCTACCTCATGGCGGGGCCCTTGCTGACTGGTCAGTTTTCTAGTTTGTTTGGTAGTTTTCATGTACATGGGAGTGGGGAACAGAAAATTATAATAAATTGTTTTCCACACTTGATTCAGACAACTTTGTAAAGTGAAAAATGTTATGGAAATGCATACTATGTACAGGTAACTAATGTAAGTCTAAGATTCACTCAGATTAGCTTTGACTAGATTGAGACAGTCTTGTGACTTGTTATTCAGGATAGCCCTGGATTTACTGGAGATCATGTACCTCAGGTTGTGGTCGATCCCCCCACGGGAGGAAATGCCAACTTCAACCATATCCCTCCAGGTCTGTATTAGCATATCAATAAAAGAGTAGTAGTGTCTTTATTTAGAAATGATTCATTTACAAACTGCAGGCCTACAGTTTTTATCCATTTTTAGTAAACAAGGTGTACAAGGCAGTACTTAATCTGCTTCATTTTTATAAATCAATTTTTGATTCGGTGAAGTGTGTCACCATGTACATTTTAGGTACAGTTTTATATGAAATTCCTTTTGCTCATTACAAGTGAATATCTGCAAAACCAATGATAAACTTTAAAAAGAAAAATCCTTGTATTTATAGTCAGTGAGCAGCATTTATCTACGTGTACGTCTTGTCATGTGTACAGTGAATACTAGTACATGTATATACAATAAAGCAGAGCTACAGTCTATATCAGTACCTCTGTGTTGTTACAGTGTTATTATCTCCACACACATCGTTTGTAGGAATCCGTCAGGATATGTTAGCCGCAGTGTCCTCCTCCTCCTCCAGCAGTAGTGGTTCTAGTCCCAACAGGAACAGTCCAGAGGCTAACTGGTCCCAGTCCCTCAAAATACAGGCAGTAAGTAGTCCCAACCGGAACAGTCCAGAGGCCAACTGGTCCCAGTCCCTCAAAATACAGGCAGTAAGTAGTCCTAACCGGAACAGTCCGGAGGCCAACTGGTCCCAGTCCCTCAAAATACAGGCAGTAAGTAGTCCTAACCGGAACAGTCCGGAGGCCAACTGGTCCCAGTCCCTCAAAATCCAGGCAGTAAGTCCGTACATAATACTACCTCAAAATCCAGACAGTAAGTTTGTTTTGAAAGTATTACATTACCCACTGCCTCAAAATCCGAGCAGAGTGTATATATTATTATACCTCTTGCAATAAATTTGTAAGGGTCTAATCTGAATTCCTTACCTCTGACAATTAATGTATGATAAATGCATTAAGGAGAAAAATTAATTTTGTAACAAATATCTGTTTTTCATTTGATAATATTTAAAGAAATATTTCTTGCAATTCCTTTGTTAAAATCCTTGTGTTTTTGTTGCAGCAAATGCAAAGCAAACAACAGACAAAGTCCCCCCCAGGAGACTCTAAAATCCCCCAGGTATCCCCAGAAATCATGAGAATCGCCAGTGAGAGGCACCAGAAGGGGTTGATGCACCCTTGGATTTATCAGCTGCTATCACAGGTACAATCCATTTTCACTAAGGTTTCAGTGTGTGATCTTGTACATAGAAATGCTTGATTTCATTAGAACTTGAGGGATGTACAAATTTAATGAAAGAATTTCTTTGGTGTTGATGGTAATGTTGGTGACTGTAGGGAGAAATGAAGATCCCCGTCAGTTTGGAGGATGAAGCCAGCAGGGAGCTGCCGACAGCAGCGGAGCTGTACAAACCAATCCGACAGACCGTATACTCCGTACTCTTCAACCTCAACAAACTGAAAATCATCCACGAAAATCAGGTCAAAGAGAAAGGTCAGTCGCTTCAGGTCTTATAAATCAGGTCAAGGAGAAAGGTTATCACATCAGGTCCTATAAATCAGGTCAAAGAGAAAGGTTTGTCTCTTCAGGGCCTACAAGTCAAAAGTTTACACTGTGAAAGCAATTCTAATGTAGTATAACCAATTGATTTTGGATGCTTTATTGAAGGAGAAAAAAATCCTTTATTAAAAAAAATTGGCTGAAGCCAAGTCTTCATCTTTGGAATTTATAGGTACATGTAATTGACACAAATGGACTAACCCCATTTCAAAGTTGAGAACAGCAAAGTATACCACTGTTTATACATATGATTGTTATTGCCCCCATGCAGTCATTCTTAATCTGTGAACTGTGTGTCCTTGATCACCTGTATTTAACTTGTATTTTACAGGTGATGCTCCTCCCTCTTCTCCTAAGTCTTTTGACATACCTGTCAAGGAATGGTCAGTGAGGAGGAACAATGCTCGGCCCTCCTTTGACATGGTCATTGCCCGTCCTGTGGACTGGAAGACGCCGTCCATTGAGCGGATGTGGCTGGGTCAGCAGGTGGATGATAAGACCCGGCGTCTGAGGGCGTTCCTGACCTGTATGGAGAGTGACACGCCCCTGATGCTGAACACACAATATGTGCCTCAACAACTCCTAATCCTCTGCTGTGTACTCAGGTCAGGTTCTGTAATTGCTTTTATCCGTTAGAAGGGGGGGGGGGTTCTGTTGAATTACAATTTTTATGCCCCACCATGAATATGGCCGGGACATATAGTGTTTGTAATGTGCATCTTCCGTCCTTCTGTCCTTCCGTCACACTTTGCGTTTAGATCTGTTCAAAGCTAAGTTTCAAAGAAACTATCCAAGATATTTTCATCAAACTTCATATGCTGATAGATACTGATGAGAGCTATGCAACTGCATCAATATTTTTTTACCTTGACCTTTCCTTTGACCTTGACCTCACTTTTCTTAAATTAGTGTTTAGCTCAGTTTTAAACATACCATTCAAGATGGTGTTATCAAACTTCACATGTGGATACAAACTTGCACGGATGATGCATCTAGGAATAAACACTACCAGACTTGCTTCGGATGCTGGATCTGACCTACATTTTCCAGATGAGTGCCCAGATTAAAGTTTTTGGAGCAGGTCCATTCCTAAGTAACTACATGTATAAGCCCAACTTGGACCAAACGTGCATGGATGATGCATCTAAGGATGGACACTACCAGAATTGCTTCGGATGCTGGATCTGACCTATATTTTCATTCCCAAGTAACTATAAGTCCTACCCGAACCAAACTTGCATGGATGATGCATCTTGGGATGGACACTTACCAGACTTGCTTTGGATGCTGGATGTGACCTATGTTTTCATTCCCAAGTAACTATAAGCCCTACCTGAACCAAACTTGCATGGATGATGCATCTAGGGATGGACACTACCGAACCAAACTTGCATGGATGATGCATCTAGGGATGGACACTACCAGACTTGCTTCGGATGCTGGATCTGACCTATATTTTCATTCCCAAGTAACTATAAGTCCTACCTGAACCAAACTTGCATGGATGATGCATCTTGGGATGGACACTACCAGACTTGCTTCGGATGCAGGATCTGACCTATATTTTCATTCCCAAGTAACTATAAGTCCTACCTGAACCACACTTGCATGGATGATGCATCTAGGGATGGACACTACCAGACTTGCTTCGGATGCTGGATCTGACCTATATTTTCATTCCCAAGTAACTATAAGTCCTACCTGAACCAAACTTGCATGGATGATGCATCTTGGGATGGACACTACCAGACTTGCTTCGGATGCTGGATGTGACCTATATTTTCATTCCCAAGTAACTATAAGCCCTGCCTGAACCAAACTTGCATGGATGATGCATCTAGGGATGCACACGACCAGACTTGCTTCGGATGCTGGATCTGACCTATATTTTCATTCCCAAGTAACTATAAGCCCTACCTGAACCAAACTTGCATGGATGATGCAGCTAGGGATGGACACTACCAGACTTGCTTCGGATGCTGGATCTGACCTACGTTTTTATTCCCTAGTAACTATAAGCCCTACCTGAACCAAACTGATCAAATTTAATACAAATTTTCATGTTGTTTTACTAATATATCCTCGGCGGGGCATTCATGTCCTATGGACATATTTCTAGTTTTTAATCTATGGGTAGAAAATTACATGTATGTGGATTTCTTAAACTGTATTATTTGAGTGCACTTGGAGTTTTCTGTGGTTCTTTAGAGAAAGGGGATACTGCCAATGTTGTTTCTTTGGGTTATACATTGTAATTCCTCAGAATCATAATTTCTGTTCAATCTACAAGTATACAATTATGCAGATTTCTTGGATTTCCATTGTTTGTCTTGATTGCACTTTAAATATGCTCTGACAAATTTCTGCTTACATAGCATAAATTAATCCCATGTAAAAGGAAGTATGTCTACGATTACTCAACTTGTTGAATGATCACATTACATTTAATATGAGCAGTACATACAGAGGTCATGAATAAATATATCTCTTTTGCTTTATCTATAACTTTAAGGTGTTAAAATTTCATCTAATGCTAGTTGTTGTGTGTAAGTTGGACCATTTTATTTTGCATTTTGAAATATTTGTCTTTCTATTGAGCAAGTTGTCTCTGTTTTCCTACAGGTACATGTTGAGGTTTGGCCGAATCCTTCAGCGCCTGGAGTTGGATGCCTTCCTTGCTATGAGTGTGTCTCCACTTCTACATGATGTACAAACCATGCAGGATCTTAAGGTATCTAAGTCTTCTAATGCAGTAATGGATTTATCCTATACATGAAATACAATGTTGGCTTTAACTCTTTTCCCCTTAGACCTTTCCCTCCTTTACCCCTTAATGACGACTTTTGACGCCTAGCCCCCAACCCTTAATGACGACTTTTGACGCATGTGTATTTCATTGTTGATTTGACTTGAAATTACCGCTTGTATACTAATTATTTGAGCACAGGTGGCCACCTGCAGGTTAACAATAGATGATTGCATCATACTACAGTCAGAAATCACGTGATTTACCTGTGTAAACAAACAATGGAATCTTGGAAAGTCCCACCAAAATTCAAAATGGCGGGCGGTTACATACGATTTTTTTTGAGCATATAACTCAGTCAATAGGCAATATTTTCTCATCCAGTAAAGCATTACTTGAAATTGAAGCTATAAACTACCTATTTCTTGAAAAGTTTGAAAATTTTAATGATTAATATGTGTTTTATACTCCAACATAACTTACGAAAATTTCGTTAAGTTCGGGACCGCGCAGTGCCGATTTTGTTACCTGTTATTCACAAATTCAGAACATACCTTCCATTTTACACATATTTATAATTGTTAAGGTGTAGGAAATAATTATTTTAACAAAATTTGACCATTTAAGTGTTCAAAAACGTCCAGAAATCAAGTTTTAGCACACGAGTCTAAAAATTTGTCGGCGAGATTGACATTGTAGTAGCACTGGAAATTATTAATTTATGGGGAATTAAACTTATAAAATTGATAATAAATGATAATTTTAGCATCAAATATATCATTACACATAATTTTTATTCTTTATACAGACAGTTTTGGCTTATTAAAGCCGTTTTACATGTGGAAAATATCTATTTTGTGATTTACACCTGCTTTCACCTGAATTATTTATTTACAGAAAACTCCGATTAAAATTTTGCAAATAGATTTTAAACTTTAATTTATTACGAATTTAATGATATATAATACATAGCATAAATAAATTATTTTGACCCTTATTAGTTGAGTTTTAAACTGCACTCCAATTCAACTAAAACGCTCTAAGGGGCAGCCAGGCAAACACTCTAGGGATATGGCCAGTGCGTCAAATCGTGGCATTAAGGGGTAAAGAGTTAAATCAGAACATGCCTGAATAGCTTCAGAAATTTTGTCAGTTGTTTTCTTAAGAGTAGAAAAATCTGTGGACTGAGCAGGATTCTTGAATTGTAACTGAAGATAGAAAAAAAATTAGAACCTGTAAAACATGAATAAGGAATGCACATTTTTTTAATACATTCTCAACATGAAATTTGACCCCTTGTACACCTAATTTGTTTGACAGTTGCCTAATGTTTTGCCACGAGGAATCCACTTGGCCTCTTTACTGATGTCTGGTGTGGAGACTGCAGTGTTTGCTAATGACGTGTGTGGGGCCCCCATACCCTGGAACATGTGCCTCCCCTGGCAGTTCTTTGATGGCAAGCTGTTCCACTTCAAGCTACTGAAGGCTACCAACAATACGCCACTGATTGACATGTGTGACGGACAGGTAAGAAGGGAGATAAATCAGTGCTGGGAAGTGTTTTACCTTTATTTCAAAGTAAAGGGTTAAGGATTAATTGTAACAGACTAAGGATTTATGTTTATGAACAGAATCTCTGTCAATCTGCAAACAATTTCAGATTTCTAAGTGGCATTTTTATCAATTGAAGTGGTCAATTTGACTACTAGCCAGTTCTTGGGGAAAACACTGACTGGGCACTGCCACAGTCAAATTTGTCCTATCCTGACACTCCTATGGTTTTACAGAAATTTTAAGGCTTGAACAACATTCCAGATTAGGAATTTCAAATGATTGAATGTAAAGATAGTCAGATAGGGACTTAAAGTTTGCATAATATCATGCAAGATTTTGGAATAGGCAATGTCCAGATTAGACAACTTTCACTGTTTGCGCTAATTTCAAACATGAATGCCTACACACAATGTAAAGGAATTCTATGTTAGTATCATGTTTGACATTTTTAAAATCCAATGCAAGTTGCTTGTAAACCTATAAATATTTTTAAGGTGGATCAAGTCCTTCAGGTGGAGAGGATGAGACAGGCCATCATGGAGGGACTACAGTTTGAGTTTGCCAAGCCAATGCTCCCCGCCCCCTCTCTGTATACTAACTATCCCTACGGATACCCCCCGTTCCCCAACCCAAACAACCCCATGAACTTCCGCCCGGCAGGCATGGGGCCCCCCAACAATAGGATGGGGCGGCCAGGTGGAATGCCTGCAGGAATGGGACCACAACAGAATCAGCCCAAGACTCCAGGAAGGGGCAGGGGAATTCTGGGTATGAATAATCTAAGGACAAATAAAATTATGTAACATTTATCAGTTTGCTGCCTGAATTTTGATATAGAGGAGAATGTCAACATACCTCTATGGTGGATTCTACTTGTACATATCAATATAGCTTGTTAATTTGTACATGATTGAACAGTGTTAAAATAAATCTTATCTTCTGTTTAACTTTCAGTGTTCTCATATGTTGCCAAAGTAACTGTTTTGAATTGTAAATGTGTAGAGTAGGGTACCCCATGAAATCCTCAATCGTTTGTTTCCAAGGAACTGTCAAGATTCAATAGTACATGTTTTATTTTGTAAAGGGAAGTTGTATGGTGTGATACTCAATTTTCCTGAGAAAAAAAAGATATTTCAGAGCTTTGTTTGTCCTTTAGGCCGCTCTCCAGTGGATGCCCGCGGGGGACAGCTGGAAATCGCGGGGGTCGTGGTGGGAAGCTGGGGACCCAATATTCCATCGGCAGGCAGGGGACGTAACTCAGGTCTGAGTCCCAGGGTCATGTCTGTTGGCAGGGGAGAAAACGGGGGAAACGGCTACCCAAATAGGTAAATCTTAAGTCTCGCTCACAGAAGAAGATCTAAATCTCTATACTTTTATATCATCCTTTTCAGCAATGAATTTGGGGCAAATGTAAAGTACTGCTTAATAAATGCTCTTAACATGAATTCCAGGGGAGGGATGAACCCCATGCGTGGAGGAATGCCCCCTATGAGAGGTGGGGGTATGGGTATGGGAGGTGGACCAATGATGTTCCGAGGAATGAACCGACCAATCAGAGGACGCATGGGACAGCCCATGTACGGCTACGGCAGGGGAGCCATGAGGATGCCCATGGTGAGAACAAACCTGAATTTTATGTTTATCACTGTCTGTAGTGGAAAAATGTAAAAGCCTCAACACATGCAATTCAAAAGTTATGGCTACTGCTAAGTTTTTTAGACAGACTGAGCAAAAACTGTATGACCATTAATCTCTGAGTAATTGGGCATTAAAAATATAGAGATGTCCTTCCTTGTATTTAAAGTACATGAACATGGCATAGTTTTCTTAAAAATAGACATTAACACAATGTTTGTAATGGTTGTAATTTGTTTTATAACCGCTATAATTTGTCTACACAGGACCGGGGATATCCATTCAGGGGACGTGGTGTTGTCAGAGGAGTTCGTCGACCTCAGGTCAAGGTCAGACCAAGGCCCGGGAAATTCAAACCAACTGCCAAGCCCAAAACAAATGGCAAGGGTCGCGGAATCACCATTGAAATTATTGAGTAAGTTACATCAGCATATTGTGCTGCTTCTGTGTTTACAAATTATTTGCTGTTTTAGGAAGAAAATATTCATGAAATTGAATTAAAATCACTTTGAGGTCAAAGTTGAACCAGAAATGAAAGAACTTGTGGTTTCCTGAAACTATAGAAAATTGTTAGATGAATGAAAAATGTACATCCAGATTATCAGTTAAAAGTAGTGTAGGTTCAGGATATGATACATGTGTCTTTGGATATTGGTTTAGCTGTCAAGGCCAATGTCCTTGAGTATTTTTTTCTTTAACTCTCTTTTTAATTTCATGTAGTGTAAATTTGTCTTATATAAAGTTTTCATCACCTTTATTACTTGTGCATTGTCAATATGATTATGTTCTTTACAGAGAAAGTGTTGCAATCTCCCAAGTGAACGGCCATTCAGACGATGCATATGAAGACGCCGATGCTGACGATAATCTGACAACACCGATGGGTAAAGGCCGCATCCACGAAGGAATCCAGAGTCCCGACAGTGGTATCCACGGTGACAAGTCGGCAACGGACATCAATGCATAGACTGACAACTTATTCTAATCATTGTTCTCTTTTTCTGCAAAGTTCCTGTGTGTGTGTTAAAACATTTATCTCTACAGCGACGACAGTGTTATGTAGTTAAATATTTACACACACACACAAACACAAAAACAAGGTGGGTACAGTGATAGCCAGTCCTGTTTATTTTTTCCCCCAGATTTCTATTGTTTTCGTTATATTTTTTTCTTCCTATATTTTGTATGGTGGACTGGTCACTGTATTCTGTGATGTGATGTGGATAAGAATCGTATGATTATTTTCTTCATCATGTCACCCAAAAAAAACTGGGAACTGTTCAACAAGCAAAGACTGGCGATTACAGAATTTTTCTTTAGTTTATACTTTATTTTCTTATCAGATGTTAGATTTCCTCAAAGCCAGTGTTGACGTCTTTGCTTTTTGAATGGGGCCTGTATTTCCTAGGTTCCGGAGACCTGGTATGAACAAAACGTCCAATATTGATGCCAGATGTCTCGGGAACTTGGAAATGTAAAATCTTATTGACGTGTATAAAATGTGAAATCAGAACTGAACAACTTCCTCAGTGGTATTTTCTGTCGTGATATTAGTGGGACGTGTTGAAAAAGGCTGCAAACTGCCAAATTTTTTCTGCAGTCTTTATGTTTGACATGATTGCTGATTTTTTTTTTTTTGATGAAGCAGTAAGGTTGCTCAAGAGAGAGACGGAGGAGTTGAAGATTTTTCAGGGAGACATTTTATTCACATCATGTTTGTTGAACAAGGCTCTTACTATTGTAAGGTGGCCTCTATTGTTGCATTTATATTTTCCAATGGTGGTCTTTTGACTTCCAGTCCACAAAAATGGTCGGATGCCAAAGTCAAATGCACTCGACTGGAACGCTAGAGTTAAGACATGAAGATGTGAGATGGTAGGACAGCCTTGGGAATTTTTCTTTCAACTACAGAAATTCAGTCTTAATACAAAGCACTTTTTCTTGTAATACTAAAAAAATTTTGAAAATGCATTTACAGTATCTCTCCTTTTTTTCAAATAAATTTGGTTATTAAAATCTTGAAGATATGAAATTAAAATCTCTGCACACCAACATTTTGGTATGTAAAACTATGAGTTTTGGGAATGAATAATATATAGGTATATTGAAAAATTTTCATTGTACATTTTTATGAGCTGTCTTGCTAGAATCACAGTTGAGGCCTTATAGTTGACATTGGTAATGTTAGGAAGTGGATGCATGCACAAGTGTTCAAATGGCCCATATTGTTTTTTTGACTTTTATACAGAAGACCTCTACATTATTTTTGTATGTTTCTATATTAATTTTTATTAGCAAAACAAATTGTTTGAAAAAAAGATCAGTATTTGTCATGTGAATTTGTGTGTGCTTTGTCCAGGGAAGAGATTTTGGGCCTCAATATTTTATTTCATTAAGCCACCCATCTGATGTTCTAGACAAAACCGGAAATTTGAACTTTTTTTCTCGTAGGAACTGAGTCTATAAAACTGTACTTCTCTGTTTCTTCTATGGAAGCCAGAATTGGTTAACGTTCTTGGACGTCTGTGATATACTTGTTTATTTCATATTTTTATGTTTCTTTCATACAGATCAGTATTCTTAAGGCTACTTTCATTTGGTTTTCAGTTTTCCTCTAATTATTTTCTCTCTCAATGAAAACAAATTTAACATTTTTTTTTGTATCAATGAGCTTTCTCTCTCAGTGGAAACAAACTATTAATAGAAGTTTTTTTTTTCTCAACGAACTTTCACAGTCTAGAATATGATATGGACAGGGTTTAAAATAATGGATAAAAACAAAAATAATGTATTAAATTGTGGTAAGGTTTGTCAAGGGTTTGGGCGGAAATCATTGTCAGGATTTTTAAGTGTGCACACTATGAAGCAATATTACCAGTCAACTAGGATGTATAAAACATTCTGGAATTGACAAAGAAAGTAGGTTTTACTCTTATTTAAGAGTTTCTAATGAGTCTCTAAAGAAAAAAAATACAAAGATGAAATAGGATAGGCATATTGATTGTTTTAGCAAGGAGTGGAATTTAGTACATTGGTTAGGAATATTTTCTATGTGAATTTCAAAATGTGTTATACTTGTTCAGGAGAGCAAAATTCAATCCACATACAAGACTATTTCGAGAATTCCTTTGGTATCTGTGGTGAAAAGATGCTTTAAATGAAAGATTATAAACTGACCTTTGACATTTTTGATGTGTCCTTTAAGCTGTTGCCATGGCAACTTGGACTGGTTAAGAAACAAGACTTGGTGAAAATAGAGATGAATTTAAGAAGAAATTAATTCAAGTAAGGATCCATATTATAACAGAATTGTTCTTTGTTTAAATGCACTTATTTTTTTCCACAGTGAAAAATTTCTTTTTTGTGGAATCATTATCTCATAGGAAATGTAATATGAGATGAGAAGTGAAGAGAACCAGCGATAGCTTCCTTTGAAATGGTTTCTTCTTTTTTAAAGAAAAGCAAAACAACTATTAGGAAAAGTTTACTTTGCAACAAAAAAGTAACCCCCTAAAAAGATTGAAGCATGCAGAAGTATCCATGCTTGTTTTTCATTTTGAAATGAAAAAAAATCCCTTTATCCGGCTGGAAAAGGGTCATTAAAATGGGACATTGAAAAGGAGGATATTTTTTTTTGAATAAAATGATGGAAATCTCCTGGTCCCTATTGTACATTAACTCTTTTAATTTTTTCTTTCATTTTGTATTATGTATAATATTTTACTGTAAAGCTGATTTGATTGATATCAATTAGCTAAGGTTTTGTAGTTATTACAAATGTTAAATATGCTTACGTATTGATTAATGACTGGAATTAAAATGTCAAGAAGTCAGTAATTTGGGGGAAAATTGATAAAGCTAATAAAATACAATCTTATCCTAAGTAAATATAAGGGGGGGTTGGTTATGGTCTTGTAAGTTTCTCAAAAGAAAAAAAATCTCTGAATTACTGGCTTCGCCTTTGTATTACTCTATTTATCATGCAGTCTTGTGTGTTTTATAAAGTGGTAGCATTATGCTTGCTTTCAAACAGGGAAAAAAAAAATAAATGTTTCTTGGAAAGCTTCCAGGGACACAAAAAATAAAAGCATGTTGTAAAAATATGATAAATTCTCCTCCCCCTCACTACAAGATTATTATGTTGTAATTTTGAATATTTGCTTCTCACATTTTTTTTCTCTATCTTTTGTTATTCAATAACATAAAGTATTGGAATGGAAAGTAGTTTAACGAAATATGGATTGCTTTGTACAGAATATTCCAAAAATTGGGTTTTTTCATTAATTTGTATTTAAATATGTTTTTGATTAATTTTTCACACTCTTTTTTTGCCATGATTTTGTTGAAGTACTACTTTAAACATGTAGAAGAAACCTAGTTCAAAGACATTTATTTGATTGATTAGAGGAAACACTGTAATATTGATAACAGTTGATAGCAATGCTACAGAAACTACTGAATACAGAGGTACCAACAAATCATGGCATTGCTTTTTGTTTCACGCTGTTTTTAAAATGTTTAGCAAAATTGTAAATGAGTTCTTTTTTATAAAGGTGTATAGTTGAAATTTTGTTTTCTAAAGCATGGCCTATTTTTAGACGTCTTTGGATAAGGGAGTTCATTTAAAACCTTTTTTCTCTCTAAAGAAAGGCATGTTTGAGCATTGCATGAAATGTGCATGAAACAGTTTATGTTTCTGTAGTTTTTTTTTTCATTTTTTGCCCATCTTTGGCATCATAACAATACAATTAATCCAGTATTTGGAAGAATGGTATATTTACATGTAAGCACTTATTAAGTAGTAATAATTTTTTGCAAGCAAAAGTTGTGCAGTGTGGTACATTGTATTTTGAAATATTGTAAAATAAAAAAGGAACAGAATTCTTTAGGAGGATGCCACATCTACACCAACTTTTGCTTGTGGTCTTTACTCTGTATACATTGTGTATTTGGTAACTTTGCCAAGTTTGACAAATTCTCCTTATATAATCTATATTGTGTACTACTCCTTGCTTAGATAGAGATACATATAATATTTTACTATAGGTGAGAATGACAGACTATTTTTGAGTTCTTAGGATTTAAGGCCTTCATGGTATCATGTAAACGAATTGCAAGTTAAGTCAAAATAAGATTGAGAGAGGAATCGGTTAAATTTTTTTGGCTCTTTGCAAACCAGTTATTTGTTAGGATTAAACTTCTATACAACAGTAAGATAAGAATGGCCTGAGATGGAAGAGGGTAGCCCAGACATAATGACATTTGAATGGACTGTCAAGTGTTTTTGAATAAATGTTGTTTTTGTGGATTTCATGTGTGCTTTATTTTTGTGTTGCCTACCTAGCACGGCAGGCACAGAGGGATTACTTTGACCGTCTATCTGTCTTTGTAAACATCACAAAGCGGGTGTGACTAGATGACAGGATACTCTCTCCTCCATGGCACCTGAGCTTTGCACCCAATTATTGTTTCAATGGAACTTTGTTGTTTTTTATCTCCATGTGAAAAATTAAAGGTAAAGATAACAATCGGAATAAAATTTGCAAATGATACTCGACTGTTCGCAAGGCAGGGCATGAACATGGAGAGCCAGAGGTGGGGTCAGGTTTAGTTAGAATCATATAAATGACTTGGGACAAGCCCTCACCAAACGGGTCCATAGGACAATGTCATCTTAATGATAGAATGTTCTATCGGGCTCTAGGAGGACTAGGCATCTTCTATTGACCCATCACGCTCACCGTGAGCATCAAGGATCATATCACTGTGAGCCCTGTTTATTGATTAGGTAGATGGACCATTCTGTAGACTTTTCAGTATAAAAAAACAAAGGCCTAGCAGTAAGTATGAAGCAAGTTGACCAAAATCCAACCATATGATGAGATATATTTGCTAATAGGTTTTATAAACAACTATAGAATGTTATGAAATGCTGAGTTTAAATTAGGCAGATTAAATCTGTAATATTAACTTATTTGTGAGTAGTCTGCATTGGTTTAAAACTTGATTTTACTCTTGAATTGCTGGGAGACACCATATGGTGGTGATAATGGATATAACTATATATATAATAAGGAAAGTTGATGATGGAAAAACTGAAGTCCTTGTTTGTCATTAAGTTTAGTTTTAATTATTTCAAACCGCTTCCTCCAAGGGCATATATACATGTAGATCCTCTTGGTTTTGAGGTCAATAGTCAAACTACTTAAGACAAAGGAAGATACTGTTTGCTCAAAATCATTAGACTCCTGTTTCACTACCATCAAGTACATTGGATCCTTGTGGGGAATAGATAACCCCTATTGATAGAGGTCATAAGGTTAAAGAAAGGACTGAAGAAGAAAACGTACCACAAAATTTCTTGAGAATCTTTTTCTTTACATACATCAAATTGGCATACTAATCAAAATAGTCCATCCATGGCACTTCCATTATAAGTGGGTTTTACTGTACCTGTTACATGTACAGGTGCTTTACCAACTGAGCTATCTGGCCACCGGCGATCAAACCGGGCCGACTACCACATTCCTCCCTCCTCCACATGCCTTCCAAAGACCCCAACCCAAGCTCATCCCTCAGGCTGTTAATTGGAGAGGAAAAATGCTTTTGAACAGACCAGGATTTGTGCTCTACCAACTGAGATGTCCCACCACCAGCGATTGAACCCGGCTGACCACCACATTTCTCTCTTCTCCCGTTACATTCGGTGGTGTGCCATGCCCTTGAACTGAGAGGCGAGAGGCCTGCCAGGGATGAGCTTGGGTTGTGGTCTTTGAGGGACCAAAGACCTTTAAGGAGGGGGGAATGTGGCGGTCATCCAGGTTTGATCACCGGTGGCCAGATAGCCTAGTCGGTAGTGCACCTGGCCAAAGATTCAGGGGAAGCGGGTTCAAATCCTGGTTTGGTCTTCAGGATTTTTCTCTTCTCCCATTACAGGATATGTACCAAATGAATTTACTGTATACAGGGTTATTTTGGCCCCGTGTTATTTTCGCCCTTTTGAACTTATGAACAATTTTGCCCCGTTTTAAATTCGCCCAGTCATAGTTCTGCATAAGAAATTATGAGATGTAATTTGAATTCGCCCCGTTTTAAATTCACCCAATCAAAGAGAGGGCGAAAGGGGCGAAAATAAAACGGAGGCGAAAATTTCCCAGTATACAGTAATTTGGTTGAAATTGGATCTCGGTGATCAAGTGATTTTCAAATCAGCTGTTATTTCTATCTTCAATTTTATTTGTGATCTTTTAATAGTGACAGTAGTAAAGCAAAAGCATACATTTCACATGCAAATGAATGCTTCGTCAAATAAATGTACATGTATTTTGTTGAGAGGTACTATTCCCTTTGATAAATGCCATACCACTAGTAAAACATGTATCACAGGTTTAATATCTCACGATTAAAACAGCTGTAAAAACACACATTTTTTAGGGGAGAAAAGTTATATTTTCTTTATTAATCAGCACAGTATATCAGGATTTGGGTTTTAAAACCAAAGAAGTCACTGTGCTTCCCATCTGTCCCCCGAACTGGAAACTGGGAGTCGGTATCTTCTTAAAAAGTTCAAATTCTACAAAGGAAAAATGACGTTTATATCAGTTTTGAGTGAATCTACACCTCCAGCATATATTGCATTTAAAGTAAATGACAGGCATCCATTTACAGGTACTATACTCTTCATGTAATTATAATAAAATAATTATCAAAATCCTAGAAGTCCATGACATTAGTAACAAGGATGCTGGCTATAAGTATTTATCAACATTATGTACATTCATTAATATTTAGAATAATTACTAATTTATTCATATCAACTTCTTTTTAGTGCATCCATCAACTTTATTTGACATTTGTGGTCTTTACTTACCAGGCTTGAAAAACTGAAGCAACTGGTCTTTGGTCCAGTTACATGATGTTATGACAAATATCCCGTCCTCAACAACAAGGTGTTTCACTGTTTTAAGGTATGCTTGCCGAGCCTCTACCTCACTATCAGGAATAAGACTAATCGCATCATAGGTACCCTTGTCAATGACTATCTTATACTGTCTAGTTAAGCATGTGTACTTCTGCGTACAGTCAGTAGCAATAAGGTCAGCAACCTGTAAATATCACAGTAATGTCAGCAACCTGTAAATATCATAGTAATTAGGTCAGCAAGACAGCAACCTGTAAATGTCAGAGCAATTAGGTCAGCAACCTGTAAATGTCAGAGCAATTAGGTCAGCAAACTGTAAATATCACAGTAATTAGGTCAGCAACCTGTAAATATCACAATACCCGGTAATTAGGTCAGCAACCTGTAAATATCACAGCAATTAGGTCAACAACCTGTAAACATCAGCAGCAACTTGTAAATATCACAGCAATTAGGTCAGCAACCTGTAAACGTCGCAATAATTAGGCCAGCAAGACAGCAACATGTATATATCACAAAAGAGTCAACAACCTGCACATGTCACAGTATTAAATTAGGTCAGCAACCTGTAAAATGCAGCAATTAGGTCAGCAACATGTAAATGATTAAAGGGTAGAAAACTATTGCTTTCTGACCTGGTAAGTTATACAGGTTATCTCCTCTTTCTCTGCTATGGCCTTGGCAAGCTCTATAGCTCCGTTTGAGTAGTCAACCCCAGTCAAATTGGTATATCCTCTTCTTGTCTGAATCAAAAATAGAAAATTAGGTCACTGATTGTGGTTAATCGTCTGAAACCCACGGGTGATCTCGTCTTTACTTATCACCCATGTGATAAGTAAAGACGATCTCCTGTAGGTTTCCGACGATGATTGTGGTTGTTAAAATATTTTTTCTCCTTTTGTTATTCTTTGTATTAAACTACTGGTATGTAGCCCAGGCAGCAATATTAATGTAGGATTTTGCAAAATACACAGCTAAATCCAAAGATTCTTTCTGCGTTCACATAAATGCATGTACAAACTACAAAGAAATGTGAGCATATATTAAGAACTTTGTCTAATATCAGAAACTGTAAATGACTCTTGTGATCAAAACTTCAATCCCCAAAAATTGATAATGATGTGGTCATACAATTTTAACGATTTTGTATGCTACATGTAGTTCAATCCATTTACCAGTAACTGTGTTAAACTACAGTTACTTTTTAAATAAAAGCAGAAATTTTAAATTGTAAACAAAATGGTAATGCATTTGTTTCAAGTCCCTTTAAAACAAAAGAAGAATGTGTTCCACAAAAAAATTACTTGACTGATGGTATATTTAAAATTTAATAACCATTTCTATAAGCATCATTCCATTGCCACAACCAAGATCTAGCACTGGATCATCTGTTGTCACTGAGTCGCAGTCTTCTAGCCAATCCAACACTCTCTCCTGACTATCCTCCCCAAACCTACAAATCATAGCATAGCCTCTGTAGCAAATATAGGATTTTCATGTGCAGACATTTCAAATATGTCATCAAGGTCACGGCTGCAATAAACATAGGTCATCAGAGATTACAGAGCTCACCTCAACGAATGTTGTCTTTAAATAAGGCAAAGTCACACAATTAACAAACAAAAAGTACATTCCAAAACTGAAAACATTTAAGCAATTTTGATCTCATACTTTGAAATAGACCTATATAAAAAATTAAAACTAGTTCTTCATGAAAATGTAATTAAAATCCAGCATCTGAACCAAATTTGAGAGTTTTCATCCCTTGATGCATCATTTGTGCAAGTTTGGTTTATACAATATTATATAAGCCTTATAGATTTTTTGGTAATAGACCTGCACCCATAACTTTTACCTGGTCCATTATCTGAAAAATGTATGTCAAATTCAGCATCCGAAGCAAGTCCATTAGTGTGCATCCTAAGATGTATCGTCCATGCAAGTTTGCTCATTATAGGGCTCATAGTTAATTGGAAATGAAACCTGCATCAAAAACTAACATTTTCACTCATCCACAAAATGTAGGTCAGATTCAGCATCCAAAGCAAGCCTGGTAGTATGCATCCTTATATGTATCATCCATGCAAGTTTGGTCATTAAAGAACTCATAGTTACTTGGAAATGAATCATGCACCAAAAACTTTAACCTGTTCACTCAACCGGAAAACGTAGGTCAGATTCAGCATCCGAAGCAAGCCTGGAAGTATGTATCCTTAGATGTATCATCCATGCAAGTTAAGTCATTATAGGGTTCATAGTATCTTAGAAATGAGACCTGCACGAAAAACTTTAACCTGTTCACTCAATCGGAAATTGGTCAGATTCAGCATCTGAAGCAAGCCTGGCAGTATGCATCCTAAGATGTATCATCCATGCAAGTTTGGTCAACATAGGCCTTATAGTTACTTGGAAATGAAACCTGCACCAAAAACTTTAACCTGTTCACTCAACCGGAAAATGTAGGTCAGATTCAGCATCCGAAGCAAACCTGGTAGTATGCATCCTTAGATGTATCATCCATGCAAGTTTGGTCAACATAGGGCTTATAGTTACTTGGAAATGAAACCTGCACCAAAAACTTTAACCTGTTCACTCAACCAGAAAATGTAGGTCAAATTCAGCATCCGAAGCAAGCGCGGTAGTATGCATCCTTAGATGTATCATCCATGTAAGTTTGGTCAACATAGGGCTTATAATTACTTGGAAATGAAACCTGCACCAAAAACTTTAACCTGTTAACTCAACCGGAAAATGTAGGTCAGATTCAGCATCCGAAGCAAGCCCGGTAGTGTGCATCCTTAGATGTATCATCCATGCAAGTTTGGTCAACATAGGGCTTATAGTTCCTTGGAAATGAGACCTACACCAAAAACTGCACCAAAAATGTTAACCTGCTCCAAAAACATTATCCTGGTCATTCCTTTGCTGAAATTGCAACATCTGAAACTTTGACTGGTACAATGAAACACACTTAAAGCATCTTCCATGCATGTCTAATCAATATAGGACATAGAAGTACTTAAAACGAAAACTGCTCCAAAAAACCTGGTAGTATGCATTCTTAGATGTATTACATCCATGCAAACTTTGTTGAGGTGAGCTAAAAACTGGTTGTATTGGCTGGACTCAATCTTCATCTATTAAAGGCCTTAATTTATTACAGCTGAATGGAGAGGTTCTCTTAGATGGCATTTTTTAAAAATATGACATAATAAATTACGAATAACATCATACATATCCAAATAGTTAAATTTATGTACAAGCATTTGAATTCAATCTTTCATTAATAGTGTAATTTTATAAAACACTGTATATGTGGTGTATGATATCAAAGTCAGAATAATATAACTGATTTTGGGGACAAGCCCTCACCACAATTAGAATATGTCTCATCTAGAACTATATGAAAGTCGGAGCAGATTAACTTTGAATTTACCTACAGTCGTACACCCATATTGCACGTAATAAATGTGATGATTAACATTATCTACCCGTTTATTTTGCCAATCTGAGATAAAGTTCACTATGCATTGTTATGCATGTCTAAAAAAATCAATAAACACTGTTTAATGCACAGCCAGAGGCTCTTGAATTTTTATCAATCAGTCTCTCAGTACATCAATGATCATCTATATGTATTTGCCAAATATTGAAAAATTCTACCCCCTCTATAAATAATAAATAATATATAATTAAATATACAGGGTTTGGTAAATTTTATAGTTCCTTGGAAATGAGACCTACACCAAAAACTGATAAAAATGTTAACCTGTGGTCCAAAAACATTATCCTGGTCATTCCTTTGCTGAAATTGCAACATCTGAAACTTTGAGTTATCAACTTAATCTCACTTAGAGAATATCAAACAATTAATATAGGACATAGAGTTCTTAAAACGACAATGCACAATAAACCTAGGTATATACAGGTCCAGTACAATCAACATTTGTTGAGGTGAGCTAAAAACTGGTTGTATTGGCCTACCTCAATCTTTCTATTAAAGGCTATTTCAATGTAACTTTTCTGGCATTTTTTAAAAATATGACAAAAAATCGCAGTTAAATGACATATCCATTAGTTAAATTTATACAAGACATTTGAAAAACTTTCATTAAGCAGAGATAATTTCAAAAACACTGTGTTGTGGTCAATTTATATCAAAACATGTAATTAGCATTGTTTTGGTTATCTGTCCTCACCACAATTAGAATATGTTATCTTCACATTGTGTCTGAATAATTAACTTTGATCATGTTAACCAGAACTGGACTTCTTTGTCATTTCATTCAAGTGAGTTAACTGTTCTAACTGTCATTTTGCCCCAAAACTTTCAGAACTTTGTTTGCAATTGCGCAAAAAAGACACTTTTGCACAGCCAGGGAATTTTTATCAATTGTTTCTCAGATGAATTCAAAGTTGAAAATGATTACCCCCTGCATAAATAATAAATAATATATAATTAAATATACAGAAAAATGCTTTTTTATAGAAATAAAAATTCATTTGGTAGCTAAATCAAGCTACCTGAGGGGTAGTATTAAAGAGTTATCAACTTAATCTCTCATTAGAGAATATCAAACAATTAATATGCATACGACTTCTTTTGTTGACAATGCACAATATGATAGGTATATATGCAGTTTTGATAGCATTCAAGTTTTAATATTTAATAACTGCAAAATTACTTGGCAACAAAATTATTAGATATAAAATCAAAAAATACCATATTTCTCCAACATCTCCAAAGTCATTGAAAGATTTGATTTCTCTGCCATAAGTTTCATCCCAACTGAAAGATAAATTTTATACCATGTTTACTATGGTGATTTTTTTGCATTTCAACAGGTCTACATGAAGCTGAATAACTTTCCCTTGAAATAACAAGGACCTTGAAGCATAATAAAAACAAGTTTTCTAGTATCAACATTATAAATTGTAACAGGTTTTATAATAACATTACTAGTTCTTGGTCCCAAGTTCAGATGACACAAAGTCACGTTTACATTCACTGGAGGCTGACATAATGGATCGAAAATGAGGTCGGAAGTTTGAGTGACGTCACAGGTCACGAGACTGTAGGAGCCATATTGGAGGTGTCATTCGCAGATGAAATAATTTTCTAAATTCATCACTCACGAAGAACTCATTGTTGATCGTTATTCTGTTAAACAGGTACAGTTTTAACCAAGCTTAATACTTATATGATTTCTATGGAAATCAATTCGTACGAAAAAGCTCAGGATTGAAGAAAAAATTTGATGAAATCTTCGGCCTAGTCAAGGATTCATTTATAATTTTCTTATTTCTTGTTTACAAAAGAAAAGTTTTGAATAATTTTCCGTGTCAATGTTTTTATATTAAATGTAACACTAGTTTCTGTTGGAGAAAATATTTAATGTCATTCTAATAATCTTAAAACATTGATTCTTGTCCGTTATTTCATCAAGTGGTGATCAGCTGACTATGTTTATAAATAGAAACTTCTTTCATTGTGTGCTCTGTTCATAATTATTGGGGGGTAAAAAATTGCTTCCTCTAAATTGATGTGTTAAAAAATAAAAGATTTTTGATTCCCAAAGTTATTCTTCATGCAGGCTAGTTTAGTTCTGTTCATCCATGGAAAGTGTCGTAAACTGATATAGGCCCCAAAACAAAGGTCCTAGTGTTACGTCTAAGGAGGAAAAACAGAAGAGGAAGTCTTCAAAGATAACTTGGAGCATATATTGTTTTAGCTTGGTTTTTTAACCATCATCTTGTGAGGGAAGCATTTGATTAAGATCTGTATCATGACTGTGAAAGGAATTTTTAAAGTATGAGTTAATGTGGTTGTGGGGTATATATTATTATTAATGCACTGGAACAATACTGTTGATACTCAATAGGTAAAGATCATTTTACTGGGTGTAGAAAATTTTCACATTATATAATACAATTGGGGATACAGACACTATTGAATACATACGGTATCCACACTTAATAATTTTCCGCAATTTTAACCTCAGAATGTTTGTCTCCAGTCCTTCTTTTTGTTTTTACTTAAAACATGTTAAACATTACATGTTTACAGTTAAAGTGAACAATCACTCCTTAGTTGAGAGAGGCATGTTGTCATTGTGTAAGAGAAAAAAAATGCAGAATACACAAAATCTAAATTTCAGTAGATTTATAAACATGATAAATAACATTCAAATCTAGAAAATCCATTACTGAGGGATTTTTGTGGATATTTTCAGGGCAGTATTATGGCTTCAAGGAAGAAGGTGTTGTTAAAAGTCATTATACTGGGGGACAGTGGGTAAGTAGTTTGTCTGATATACACACAGAGTAGTATCATAATCAATTAATATTGCCTAGTAAGGGCTATTAATTTAAAATATCCATCATCATTATTTTTGTGCCTCAACCCCTCCCCCCCCATATTACTCTGACTTAAGTCATATCATCATACTTTTTAAGCTCACCTGAGCGAAAGGCTCAAGTGAGCTTTTCTGATTAAAATTTTTCCGTTGTGTGTCATCGTTGTTGTCGTTGTAAACTTTTCACATTTCACATTTTCATCTTCTTCTCAAGAACCACTGGGCCAATTTCAACCAAACTTGGCACAAACTATCCTTGGGTGAAGGGGATTCAAGTTTGTTCAAATGAAGGGCCACACCCTTATTCAAGGGGAGATAATTAAGAAATAGTGAAAATTTGGTGGTATATTTTAAAAATCTTCTTCTTAAGAACCACTGTGCCAGGAAAGATGAAACTTATAGGGAAGCATCCTCAGGTAGTGTAGATTCAAATTTTTTTTCAAATCATGACCTCTGGGGGTAAGGGCGGGGCGACAATGGCCTATCAATGTTTTACATAGAAATATATAGGAAAATTCTTTAAAAATCTTCTTCTCAAGAATAACAAAGCCATAATTGATATTTATATGGAAGCATTCTCAGGTAATGAAGATTCAGGTTTGTTCAAATCATGACCCCTGGGGATAGGGTGGGGCCACAATGGCTGATCAAAGTTTTACATAGAAATATATATTAAGGAAATTCTTTAAAAATCATTTTCTCAAGAATAGTAAAGGCATGAATGTTCATATTTATACAGAAGCATTCTCAGGTAGTGTAGATTCAAGTTTGTTCAAATCATGACCCCTGGGGGTAAGGCGGGGCCACAACATGGAATCTAATTTTTGCATAGAAATATGTAGAAAATTCTATAAAAATCTTCTTTTAAAGAATGGCAAAGCCATGATTAGTCATATTCATAGGGAAGCATTCTCAGGTAGTGTAGATTCACGTTTGTTCAAGTCATGACCCCTGAGGGTAGGGCGGGGCCACAAAGTAAGTTCAAATGTTAAGGGCAATAAATCCACAGGTATTCAAAGAAATGTGCAAGCATCCTTAGTTAGTGTAGATTCAAGTTTGCTCAAATTATAACCCTCTCCCTTTTAAGTATTGGTTGGGACCACTTTTGTGTTTAAACTTATTAAGTTTCAAATAAACTGATTTCTGCTTTTTTCCAAGCTACAGTGCTCAGGTGAGCGATGTGACCCATGGGTCTCTTGTAAAGTTGCTATTTCACTAAATAATGTCTAATAAAATACTTTCACCCCATCCCACCCTCCTCAAATTTTGAAAACAAACCTTTATATAGTTTTGCTTCTAACATGTTGTTATTGGGCAAAAAAAGTATTTTTGTACATACCTGTAGATTAAGGTGTGTTGTCAAAGAAAACATGTCAGATAGTTTAAGCTTGACTTAGTTCTTCTAATGTTCTTCCTCTTATTTACATAGACGCAGCTTTCCAAACATTGTGAAACTACGCTTCAAATTTCTTTATAAACTGTTGAATTTTTTTTAAAGTTCCTGCACTTACCATAAGTTTAAAATCCAGAAAATCTCCTTTTACATATCATTTATCTGCATAGAAATGTACATTATGTATATATTCAAGGTTTGAAAATACCTAATTGTTAAATTATCAGGGAACTGATTTCAGCTGAAACGTTAAGAAATTTTGAATTATGAAGATTAAACCAAGATAATCATGATTAGTATATGATTTCTTCATTCATAGTTACATGACAAAATTTTATTTTTTCAATGTAGTGTTGGAAAAACATCTCTTATGAACCAATATGTAAACAAAAAGTTCAGTAACCAGTATAAAGCAACCATTGGAGCTGATTTCCTGACCAAAGAAGTGATGGTAGAAGACAGATTAGTTACAATGCAGGTAAAACTCAAAATACGCGGCAGTTATAAACATGATAAAGCATTCTGGAATTAACTTTCTAAACCTCCAACAAATACAATGAACAGAAATTATGTGCTGTGGCTTAACATTTGAGGTACCACAGATATATCAAGCTAAATAAGTGTATGTCTTTGTCAGTGAGTCTGTCAAATTTCTGTGTCAATAGCAGTAAAAGTGACTGAAAAAAGTCTAATTTTTACTAGCCCTGACCCTTTAACCTCTAGCCCTGACCAAACTTGAGAAAAGTTATTTAAGTACAAAATAGTAATTACTGTATAATCCCTATTAACCACCCCGGGCGCTTAGAAAATTGCAAAAAGGGGGCGGTTATTTTGGTATTCTCTTCCTAAAATTTATTGTCATATTTTAATTTCAAAAAATCTTTTGAAAAAAAATAAATTCAAAAAAACACTATTAACTAAAATATGTCTAACTTTACTCTAAGTGAAGATAATCCATCCATATTATGCTAAATGATTCATTTTCAACCAAGAAATTGGAGTATAGAAAGTTTCATTTTCACTTTCTTCAAATCTTGGCAGACATTTGATACAATTCTAGATGATTTTAATCACTGTTCAGGGGGCCCTTATTTCCTGACAATTAAAAAAGACCTAGAGGGGCGCTTATAGGGGCAGGGGCGGTTAATAGGGATTATACGGTATACTATGATAATGACATTTTCCCCCATACATGCCACATCAAAACTAGGTCATATACATGTGGCTTGTCATGTTTAGTCCTAATTAATTAAATCAACTTGTATACAATATTAACATTTATACTATTAAAAATTTTCAGAGAATTTAACTTTTTATTTAAGTATAGTACAAATAATTTTATTATTATTATAGTTTTATTGTTATTACATGGTTTACCGATGTCGTAAACGAATGAATCTTTCAACAATGACAATCGTAACTACTCAGCCATTCCTGTGAACGATAAATAGCTTATTGTTTCTCTCTAGGAAAATGACCGAGTAGTTACGAATGCCGACAATGAACTGTTGTTAAAAATAGCGCTGAAAATTCAGTCATGCTATCTGTAATGTATGTAGTTTTCTTTCTACTGTGTGGTAAGTAGGGCTGTATCAATATATCGATACGTATCGATATTTAAGAAAAATATCGTATTGAAAAATTACTTCTAATACGTATTGGACAAGCAGTTTATCTTCTAATTCTGCTAAAAAGAGGGGAATTTTAATCAGCAAAGATTATATTTCACTTTTTTGAATTAAAACTGATCAATGATTATAGATTTATATAAAAGAAATAACACAGTTTTTATAGTTATTGTAAAATACATAACAATTTTATTTTAACATGTTGATTTTACAGTCATTAAAAGTTTTGATTGAAAGTGTTTTATTTACTGACTATGGGTTAAGAACTCTAAGATTGGTAATAAAACACGCAATTTTTATGAAATCCATGCATTATATGATTAATAAGCCTTTTTTGATGGACTTGTTTTAGAATCCAATATATCGCATATGGCTTTAAAAAATATTGTATCGTATCGAAATTTTTTGCTCAATACACAGCCCTAGTGGTAAGGAACATTTGATTTTTACTTTTTCATTGACAATAAATGATTTGTTCAAAAATATATAATAAGTTCCTTTATTAGCTCTACTGGTCAGAGACCAGAAGAGCTTATGCGATAGTAATGCGTACCGTCCGTCTGTCTGTCTGTCTGTCTGTCCGTCTGTAAACAATTTTTCAAAATGCTACTGCTCCAACAGTTTTGGTCTGATTTCAATATAACTTGGCACACAAGTAGACTACACTAAGATACATAATTCTGTGTATCGGTTTTTGATTTCGATGAACGGTGTTGCCGTGGTTACTAAAAATAGAAATTTCTGTGAAATTCTTTCAAAATGCTACTCCTCCTACAGTTTTAGTCTGATTTCAATATAACTTGGCACACAAGTAGACTACACTAAGATACATATTTCTGTATATAGGTTTTTGATTTTGATGAACGGTGTTGCCGTGGTTACTAAAAATAGAAATTTCTGTGAAATTCTTTCAAAATGCTACTCCTCCAACAGTTTTAGTCTGATTTCAGTATAACTTGGCACACAAGTAGACTACACTAAGATACACAATTCTGTGTATCGGTTTTTGATTTCGATGAACGGTGTTGCCGTGGTTACTAAAAATAGAAATTTCTGTGAAATTCTTTCAAAATGCTATTCCTTGTACAGTTTTAGTCTGATTTCAATATAACTTGGCACACAAGTAGACTACACTAAGATACAGAATTCTTTGTATCGGTTTTTGATTTTGATGAACGGTGTTGCCGTGGTTACTAAAAATAGAAATTTCTGTGAAATTCTTTCAAAATGCTACTCCTCCAACAGTTTTAGTCTGATTTCAATATAACTTGGCACACAAGTAGACTACACTAAGATACACAATTCTGTGTATCAGTTTTTGATTTCGATGAATGGTGTTGCCGTGGTTACTAAAAATAGAAATTTCTGTGAAATTCTTTCAAAATGCTACTCCTCCTACAGTTTCAGTCTGATTTCAATATAACTTGGCACACAAGTAGACTACACTAAGATACACAATTCTGTATATCGGTTTTTGATTTCGATGAACAGTGTTGCCGTGGTTACTAAAAATAGAAATTTCTGTGAAATTCTTTCAAAATGCTACTCCTTCTACAGTTTTAGTCTGATTTCAGTATAACTTGGCACACAAGTAATCTACAATAAGATACATAATTCTGTATATCGGTTTTTGATTTCGATGAACGGTGTTGCCGTGGTTACTAAAAATAGAAATTTCTGTGAAATTCTTTCAAAATGCTACTCCAAATAAATATATAATATATTGGCATGCAAGTAGACTGCACTAAGAACATATAGAGACTTAATCAAGGATCATTATTCTATTTATTGCTGTTGAAAAGTTTCAATTTCCAACTGCTTAAGTACTTTTCTCTTCCTTTGCTATAAGTACAAACCAGTAGAGCTTCAGTCTCGACAGAGACTTCTGGTTTTTCTTACACGACCAGTTGGTCTAGTACACAGACATTTTACCCGACCGGACCCATCTTTTACCAGACTCAGTCGGTCGGACGTGCCTTAATGTCAAACCCTGCAATGTAAATCTCTCATCCACAAAACTTCAAGTTGTCATATTAAGAATTACAAGCAATGATTATCAAATTAATGAGTATAAGCATGATTAATATGAACTGTTTTTTCTTAATGTTTTTTAATAATTAACAGATTTGGGATACAGCGGGACAAGAGAGATTTCAGTCGCTGGGCGTGGCTTTCTACCGGGGGGCTGACTGTTGTGTTCTCGTATTCGACGTCACCATGCCAAACACATTTAAGTCCTTGGACAGTTGGAGGGATGAATTCCTCATTCAGGCCAGTCCCAGAGACCCTGAAAATTTCCCATTTGTCGTCATAGGAAATAAAATTGACCTGGAGAATAGGGCGGTAAGAGCTCTCTTAATGATATATATATATAATGAAACTGAGAAAAGCCGCTAGTTTTTCTTTTGAGGTTGTACAGTTTAGTTATCTTGGATGCCATAATGCTTACACATACCAAACCACAGTGTAGAATGAAAAAAAAATTACTAACCAATATTATAGCTATTTCCTTTTTTAACATGAGTGTATACAAAGAGACTATTCACACGATACATGAGACTGAGAGTGTTTGACAGGGTTAGGTAATTGTTTTCAAAGCATGCAAACTCAGATTATCAGAGGCCTTTTCAACAGAGTGAACATTCGCGAGCGCTCGTCAAAATTCCTTAAACCTCCAACAGAAATGTTCGCAAGCGCTCGCTCTGTTGAACAGGCCTCAGGTAGCACAGGTAGCTGACCTGTCATTCAAATCAGTTGCTTTTGTTTGTTTTTTTTTTGATTGACAGGCAGTATATTATTGATTTTGAAATACATAGATTTGGAGGGCATTTACTTAAAATAGGTTTTAATTATGAAATGTTTGATTAAAACAGGTTACAGCCAAGAGAGCCCAGAGTTGGTGCAATAGTAAAGGAGAGATTCCATACTTTGAGACCAGTGCTAAAGAGGCCATTAACGTAGAACAAGCTTTCCAAACAGTCGCCAAGAATGCCCTGGCTCAAGAAACGGAAGTGGAGTTGTATAATGAGTTTCCAGACCAGATAAAACTTACAAACGATACAAAAAAGCAGGACAGTGGATGTGGTTGTTAATAGGAATAACTTCTTCTCTGTAAAAAAAATTGTTTATCTTTATGGAAGATCATGTGAAAACAAAAATGGTTTCATATAGCACACAATTTTCATTCATATGGGCCACACAGAGGTTTCTTGGGAGTGAAGATAAGTGACCAATCACTGAGCAGTATGAATTTGAGGTGTGTGTTTTGAGAGAGAGAGAGAGAGAGAGAGAGAGAATGTGTATGTTACAAGGCATCTGATTGGAAGTTGTCATGACAATACTCGAATGTTAGGTTAATTGACTCCCACAGATCTATAAGACAGGTCCATGGAAGTTGAGGTAATTTATTTGTGATTTGAATCAGAATTTAACAAGATTTCCTTTTTTCTTCAATGTTATGAATGTGATATGCTCCTCTCCTTTTTTGTGCTCAAACAAGAAAAAAAAATTATCTGCCTAGATCAACAAATGTGATTTGCTGTTTATTTAAGTTAAGTAAAATTTACAAGCTACTTGATAGAATTTTTTTTTTTGGATCCATATTTTTTTGATTTTGAATAAAACAGAATCTTAATTAAGGCATGCATTTCAGAAAGTGCTTACATATCAACTAGCAGAAATTAATTTTGAGAAAATCTGTATAGACTAATAGATATTTTAATTATAACTGAAGCTGAAGTTAGAATTATTTTTATACATCTTAAATAATTTTGGATTATATCACATGAATATCTAGGTTCATGTGTTAGTAGATTTTCAATTAGCAAACCATTGCACATACTGAAATCAAATTTAGTATACAGATATATCACTTTAATATCTAAGTCAAGTTCTGTTGGACTTGTTGAATTTGAAATGTAAAAATTTCAAATTTGATAAAATGTGACTTTCAAATTTACTATACAATATATCACATTTTTTTTTGTTTCGGGTACGAACCATATCTTATGCCCCTTGCAGTAATTGTTATTTTCAGTTTCCGTAGTGCTACTAGATGAAATTTAATATACAGATTTATCAGATGAATATCTAGGTCAAGTTCTGTTTTGCATGATTTTTGGCCCCTTGGACCAATGGGCAGGGTTTTTAGATCTATTTTTATATAAATAATTTGGATTGCTGTGTTAGTACATTGAATTAAATGTAATTTCAAAGATAAAATGTGACTTTAAATGAAAATTTTTTTTTTAAAATCTATAATAATTGTCTGTAGTGCTTAGATTTGTTGATCCATTGGCATGATTGGCACTGGGCAGGGTTTTAGATTATTTTTATATAAGTCTTGCTGTGTTCGTAAATTTTTTCAAGTCTCATATTATATGTCATTGTTTTCTATGACAGCATGTATATTTATAGACCATTTTGTTAAATGAAATTTTTTTTGTCATTTCAAACAAATCTAAAACTAAGGGATTCAAAGTAAGAAGTCATCAGTACTTTGTATTGGGATACATGTGTATGTCAGAAATGAACATGTCTGCTTAACAAATTTTTGTATTGCAGTTTTATTCCTAATTTGAATGAGATAGAGAGGAAATTTAGAGTTACCTACATATATATGTACACATTTTTTGATGACCAAGGCTGCAATATTGTCTGGTACAAGGATAATCAAACCTATTAAAAGGATGAATAAAATTCTTATCGTGGCTACAGATTCCAGTTTTTTTTCTCCTTACACTATTTATCAAGAAATATCAGTTTATTATAAATATATATATATATGCATTATAAAACATGCATAGTTAAGCTATGTATGCTCTACCTAGAGCTGATTTTTGTGTAAAATGTAAATTGCACATTTATAATGACCATTAAAAGTCTTTTTCTCTATAAAACATGACTGTATGCAAAGTTACTACATGTACTTTTTCCCACAGCTGCAATAGGATATACATAATTATATGTGTACAAATACAAAGTTCAGTGTTACTGTTTTGTATATTGAGTATAATTTTGAGCATTACTGTAAATCTAATATTGAATGATCAATAAATAAGATATTTACTTTTAATATTTGTTATTTATTTGAGGACAATTCCTAGGCTGTAAACTTTTTTGTTCCCCCACTTTCACTGACAGTGGTGGATATTAATATGTGTGTGTTATTCTGTCTGTATGGAACATTTATGCTTCCATTTGATATCTTAGAAAACATTTGAGCTTTTGCAATGCAATCACAATTTCCTATTGCCTCATTCAAGAAGATGGTTTTGATATCAAAAGACCATGCAAGGTCATAAATTTATACATTGCCCTTTTTCTCACCCATCCACCCTCAAAAAAAAAAATAAAAATTCCAGACATTGTAATGTTCACCATGCTATATAAAGAAGTAATACTAGTAGATGAAATTTATGTATACTTTTGTAGTTAAATTTTTTTTTTTAATTTTGATATGTTTGAATAAAACAGGTTACAGCCAAGAGAGCCCAGAGTTGGTGCAATAGTAAAGTAGAGATTCCATACTTTGAGACCAGTGTTAAAGAGGCCATTAACGTAGAACAAGCTTTCCAAACAATCTTATTTTAATAAAACATCAATACTAAATTAATTGATGTGGACCAAGCATGAATTATAAACTTTTTATTGCAAATTAAAGTTGTCGACCAAATGAGTAACGGTACTATAAACTCATCTATACGTTCTGAAAATAATCATTTCCAGTAAACTCGGCTCAAATATATCTCATAGAGGGCCCAAATATTCTTTATATCTCTTAAATATATTTCCCATGTGGTAAAAGTTATAACAAAATGAAATAGAAACTTGTAACAGTTTAAAACAAGATGTATTTGTGAAAGTCCCCCCCCCCCAAAAAAAAAAACAATTAGAATTTATTAAGTCCAATGGGCATTACTCTTTCAAAATTGCTGATCATACCCCAAACAGAATTTGACCTAGATATTCTTATGATAAATCTGTATACCAAATTTGATTTTAGTATGTGCAACCTCTGTGAACAAAATGAATGGAAACTGCAAATATTAATTGGCATTTTTCAAAAGTCCAAGGGGCTTAACTCTGTCACAAATTACTCCATCATACTCAAAACAGAACTTGACCTAAGTATTCTGATGATAAATCTGTATACCAGATTTATTCTTAATGTGTTCAACCCCTGTGGCAAAAATGAACAGAAACTGCAAATAATTGTCTATTTTCAAAGTCAAAGGTGGCCCTGGTGGTGCAGTGGTAGGAGTATCTGCTCTAGAGTCATGCAGTAAAGAGTTGATCCTTAGGTCGTGGGTTTCGAATTCCACTGTGGGACATGGAGACCTTCAGATGAGACCATACAAAAACTGAGATCCTGTGTTGCAGTAGGTGCTGGCACGAAAAAGATCCCTCACTGCTCAATGACCTAGAGTCTCAGGTATAGGACAAAATTTGTCGCTCTCCATCGGCAAGTGGTGGCCTCTCCAAATAAGTGAAAAATTCTCAAGAGGGACTTTAAACAACATACATTACCAGTTCTTGTTAGAGAAGGATTTCTTTAAGCCCGACCTTTAATTTTTATTAAGGATGCTTTGTGTCGAGTTAGACTGAAATTGGTCCAGGAGAGCTTTAATAAAGGCATTTATTCATCATCCTATACTTCATCATGTTACAAATGATGTTTACCAAACTGAAATGTTGATTTGCTTTTAAAAAAAAATTATCAAATGACAATGAAGGAACTATAGGACTTCCTCTTCATTTAAGACAACAATATATCAAGTTTTAAAACTGACTTTACTGCACTGTACATAAATCACCACATAAATCGCTGAGGCTCTACAATATCTGCCCACTTAAAAGGCCTGGCAATAAACATGTATATCGTAAAGGCATTTACTAACACATAAATTATAATTTCTAACAGCAAGTTCATCCAAGAAACATCCTTAACATTTAATCTGTAAATAACATAAGGCAAAATGAAATAACGGAACTCTAATAGTTTCTGAGGTATGGTAGCTGCCAACAAACATACCGAGAAAACTATTTTCCAAAAGACATTTTTGTGTTTCATTGTTTGAAATAAGGAGAATATTCCATAATAATAAGCTGGGATCAAGGCATATCTAATGTAGGGTATTCTTGACTCGTATATTTTGTTCCAAACATAGAATGTATAATGCCTGTTGTCTGATATTAAGTATAGATGAACATATGTGTATTTATTTACCAAGGCATATGACATTGCCAAGAATGCTACAGTGAATGGGACATGATTTACAGAGAATAGGATGAAGTTGATAATTCGTGATGGACTGATTGTGTATGGACTTAAAAAAAATATAGAAAAGGAAACAAAATAGAAGACTTGGGGAAAGTTTAAACATGCCTCGTGCTGAGATTTGTCTCCCACTACGATTCCCCCATTATAGTGTACAAATAACCCGAAAAGGCCTATAACACAAATGTAATAAAAAGATCCAATGAGTATGTTTGCAATTAGTTTAACGATGTTCTGTGGTGTTGATTTAAAGTTGGTGAACAGGAGTTTTAAGAAATTTAATATGACTTGTCCATCTGAGGTAGGTGCTGATGTTATGTCTTTTTTCTTGACGTGAGTTTGACTTTTCATCCATTCCTGAACAACGTCTGCAGCTGTTAAACCCGCCATGAAGACGACCCAGACAACGTTCGACTGACGAAACAAAATGGAGACTCCTCCCATGAAAGCTGCTAGGGATTTATTTCCACGAAGATGAAACAGATACATCAGAAGCACAAAGAACGTGGATCCTGGATCAGTGTAATACAAAAAGGTGAAAAAGTAAAGAAGTGGAAACAAGGTCAAGGTCACAGCTGTCATAATGGCCATCCTACCAACATCCTGCAGAAAAAAATTAACAATAACTAAAGGCATTTATAGATTATCCCAAATAAAGATATTTTTATGATGTTATATATTTTCTGATCTTTGATAGCTACACAGATATGCATGAGAAAAGCAGGCAGAGATGAGCAGCAGTTCAAACATTTAATTTTATTTGGCTTATTAATTATCACTTCTGCCATTAACTATCAGCTCCTTCCTTAATCAGTTATTCCCAGTGGTGAAATATCTGCACTGTACACTTACATGACATTCTAATAAGTTATTAATTCATTAAGTTCCCAATAATTTATCTTACCTTTCCCACTGTAGCAGGTGAGTGGATCGTTTTATAGATCTCTCTCTGTACATAGAAGGTTCCCGCCTGGAACAAAACGTTTATAAGTCGGAGACCCATAACAGAACACACCAATTCAGCATCCAGAAGAAGAATAAAGGGCTTCAAGATTCCAGCTGTTACTAAATATAAACCAGGGAGGGTTGTTATCATCGGATCCCACTGAAAGAAAATTATCATTGTAAATTTACAGAAAACATTTCATATGAGAAAGATTTGAGAATGGTTTCCTGATATTGTGATGGGTCTATACTTTATCATGTTAAACTTTATTGACTTAAAATTCTTGTAAGGTTAATATTGTCTGGTCACACACTCATTTTCATTAATTTTTTTTAAGCTTACCAATATTTTCCACAGAATTTCCCTATATATACTGTATATAGTGTAAAGAAAGAGGAGGAAATGCAATCAGCTGGACAGGGATTAGATCCTGATTCCCTGAATCTCCAGATAGGTGTCCAACCAAGTTGTACCAATGGAGCTATTTGGCCATTGATGTTTAAATTAATCCGGCCATCTTACCACCACATTTCCCCTCCTACAGGTCTTTAGCCCCCAAAGACACCAACCCAGACTCTTCCCTAGCAATTGTTTTTTACATGATACTTCTACGGCAGGGCTAGTATGGCACCAAATATGTATTGGGAGAGGAAGAAAATGCAGTGGATCAGACTGGGATTTGAACATGGGCTCTCTGAATCTCTAGTCTCTCGAGCTCTACCTACTGAACTATTTGACCAATGGTGATTGAACACATTCGATCGTCACAACAGAATGATATAAATTTATGGTTTGGGTCGCATGGATTATGGCATGGGTAGCTCAGTCAGTAGACTAGTGATGCAGGGGTCCTGGGTTCCATTCCCAGTCCAATCATACATTTTCTCCTTTCCTGTTACAAAATGAATTTATTTAAGAGAAGGCTTCATGATGATGATGTTCATACATTGACTTATTCCTAAGGTTTCGTATTATTTTCAAGAAGTTATTTCAGTTGTAATATTGTTGCCAAATTCTTAGAGCTGATTACAGTTGTCCTTATATATTTTGACACTCAAATGACAATATTCATTCAATATATTTATGTTAGTAGCAAGGATGTTGACAGAATAACTTGTTTTCAATCGAACAGACTTACCACTGAAAAATTTCCATGACAGTAATGTTTAACTTGCCGAATGTGAAAAATTTCATCCATATATGGATTCTCTTGAACTTGATTGATCAAGTACATTATAATTAAGCTTAAAATAGTTATACCGGCGAAGACTACTATTTCTGTTGCGTGTCCCATAATTTTGCTCTTTAAGATATGAAGGTAGAAAAAGTGCAAAAAGGGAGAAGTATTTTAAGTAGTATTTTTAAAAGTATATTATTAATCAATCATCTATTTTAAATGAATTTATATTAAAACAGCTGTGAAATTTGGGTAAATCAACTATTGTTTTTATATAAGCGCTACAATCATTGCTTAGGTGAAGGAATAAAAAAAATACGCTTATTATTATTTTAATTAATAATACCTCCCTTGGAACTCTTCTATAAAAGAAAACATCTTTACTACGCTTGGTTTTTGCGGTGTTAAACTTCATCGAAAGCAGAATTATCCCTCAAAATTATGAACAAAGGATGGCTAGAACTGGAGAGCGATCCTGGTAAAGAATGACATTATTGCAATTTTAAAATATTTTCAGCAAATGAATTCTGAATCATTCAATTAATATCGCTCTTTGTGGAAATTTGTTTATATCTTTGAAAATGATGTACCATACCTGTAAAATATTCTGCAGGTCCAGTCCAAAGACTATTTCTACCTACGTAGCTATTAATAGCTACCTAGGTATTTAAAGCTACCTAAAGTAGCTATTTTTACCTACTTTTTTTTTATAATTTCTGCATTTTGCGGCACAAAGACCAAACTGCGCAACATGGTGAATACCTTATCTTTTGATACAGTCATACTAATGATGAATACGACAAAATTTTGGCCAAAAAATGATGAGTTCCTGAATCGGCAATTTTACATTAGTTTCTATGCAAAATTGAAAATATTCGAAGTAATCATTTTTTGGTCAAATTTTTGTCATATCCATCATCAGTGTGGCTGTATTAAGAAATTTTGAGCTCACCATGTTGCGCCGTTCCTGCATTTGGCCACAAAATGCAAGTAAAGCAGAAAGTAGGTTAAAATAGCTACTTCGGGTAGCTTTAAATACCTAGGTAGCTATTATAAGCTACGTAGGTAGAAATTGTCTTTGGACTGGACCTGTTCTGTATTCATTCTACAGGCTTGTTCACACTGCTTATAGAAGATATGGGTAAGTATCATCACTTTTCCACAATAGTTTACATTACAGAAAGCAATTTTCCATATTTTCTTTTACATGATGTAAATAATAAAAATTAAAGAGTCTGATCATGACAGTGACTGTGACTCGTGTGAGTGTAATTTTGAATATTGAGTATTGACCAAAGCAATCCATTGTAAAGCAAAATAAAAGTATTTCCTTTGTTTGATTAATGTATATCACCTGTGGTAATGTATGGATTTAAAGTACAGTTTCTGTACATTGTGCTGAATTGATAATAAGTTGACGGTGCTACCAGTAACTATTAGCATGTCCAGCACAATACCCTGATGAAGGTATATAGCTTGATAAAGTTATATACTTTATCAAAGTATAACAAATACCTTGATCAAGGTATTTTACATAATGAAAATTAAAAAAAAAATTTTTAAAAATTAAATACTGAAAGTCGAGTTCTGGGTTGTTGTCAGTAAATTCACCCATGCATGTAAAGTACTCAAACATAAAGAAATCAGTATAAAATCATGTCGTGTGAGGAGACGTTCTTTTATGCTGTCTTTTTGATACCAGAGTGCTTTTCATTCATGAGTGGTCACAGACAAAAACTCAGAACTCAACTTTCAGTATTTTTTAAAATTTTTAAAGAATTTTTTTTGAATTTTCATTACATAAAATACCTTGATCAAGATATTTGTAATACCTTTTGTAATACCTTGATAAAAGCCATATAACTTTATCAAGCTATGTACCTTTATCAGGGTATTGTGCTTGACCTAAATAGGGCAAGTGCAGACACCTATTCAGTTTTAATTAATAATAATAACTGCTCATGACATTTGTTAAGCGTGTCTAGACTATGAAATCACATGACGTAACGTTGCAGGTATGTTGCATTACAATAACCAGTTCAACTGTTCTATCACAGTTAATGTAGTTCATGGAAAATGCTGAAAGACTTCAGATACACTGAGATGATGTAAATTAAATGTTGGATATGCTTATTTAATATCATATGATGACTTTTTATTTTACGTATATCCTCAAATCTGATTTCTTTTTGTGTTACAATATGCCAAATTGGCAAAATTTGTTTATTTCAAATTCCAGGTGTGAAAGATGTCCAGGTTGAAGAAATCTATGATCTTCAAAAGGCAATTGAAGGGTTTGTTGAACTTATTGATTTCACTGTTTTAGGTGTATGTACAGCCAGAAAAAATAATAGTTCCAAAGACGTAAATGTCAAAATAGCAAACAAAGAATCATTTTAAAAATTCCCTTCACCAAGTATCTGTATAACGTACATGTATTCACTACATGATAGCACATTCTTACATTATAAGCAAAGTAAAGTAAGACAGCTAATGAACAGCTGCAAACAGAGTTTTTGTAATGTATGTAAACTCTTATCTCACACCTGTATATTTTATGTTTGAATATTGTGTTCAAATTATTCATTATGACCTTTCCAGGACTGCCTATGGATTTATTTTTCTGTTCCGATGGATTGAGGAAAGAAGAAGTCGACGTAAAACAACAACGGAAGAGGAATCTTTTGTACAAGATGAGAACGTTGTCAACAACATTTTCTTTGCACAACAGGTTACCTATTATGTTTATTGTGATATGTGTAATTTTAATAATTTTTATTTAACATCATAAAGTTTGTTGTCGTATTAACATTTCTAACGACATATTTTTAGCTCACCTCAACGAAGTTGGGGGGAGCTTATGTGATACCGTCGGCGTCGGTGTCGGCGTCGGCGTCCCAGGTTAAGGTTAAGTTTTTTGGAGCAGTTTTCTTTTTAATTACTTCTGTGTCCTATACTGATTAGACATGCATGGAAGATGGTTTTAGTGTGTTTTATTGTACCAGACAAAGTTTCAGATGCTGCAATTTCAGCAAAGGAATGACCAGGTTAATGTTTTTGGAGCAGGTTAACATTTTTGGTGCAGTTTTTGGTGTGGGTTTCATTTCCAAGTAACTATAAGGCCTATGTTGACCAAACTTGCATGGATGATACATCTAAGGATGCATACTACCAGGCTTGCTTCGGATGCTGAATCTGACCTACATTTTCCGGTTGAGTGAACAGGTAAAAGTTTTCGATGTAGGTTTCATTTCCAAGTAACTATAAGCCCTATGTTGACCAAACTTGCATGGATGATACATCTAAGGATGCATACTATTGGGCTTGCTTCGGATGCTGAATCTGACCTACATTTTCCGGTTGAGTGAACAGGTTAAAGTTTTTGGTGCAGGTTTCATTTCCAAGTAACTATAAGCCCTATGTTGACCAAACTTGCATGGATGATACATCTAAGGGTGCATACTACCGGGCTTTGCTTCGGATGCTGAATCTGATCTACATTTTCCGGTTGAGTGAACAGGTTAAAGTTTTTGGTGCAGGTTTCATTTCCAAGGAACTATAAGCCCTATGTTGACCAAACTTGCATGGATGATACATCTAAGGATGCATACTACCGGGCTTGTTTCGGATGCTGAATCAGACCTACATTTTCCAGTTGAGCGAACAGGTTAAAGTTTTTGGTGCAGGTTTCATTTCCAAGTAACTATAAGCCCTATGTTGACCAAACTTGCATGGATGATACATCTAAGGATGCATACTACCGGGCTTGCTTCGGATGCTGAATCTGACCTACATTTTCCAATTGAGTGAACAGGTTAAAGTTTTTGGTGAGGGTTTCATTTGCAAGTAACTTTAAGCCCTATGTTGACCAAACTTGCATGGATGATACATCTAAGGATGCACACTACCAGGCTTGCTTCGGATGCTGAATCTGACCTACATTTTCCAGTTGAGTGAATAGTTAAAAGTTTTTGGTGCAGGTTTCATTTCCAAGGAACTATGAGTTCTTTAATGACCAGTCTTGCATGGATGATACATCTAAGGATGCATACTTCCAGGCTTGCTTCGGATGCTGAATCTGACCTACTTTTTGTGGATGAGTGAAAATGTTAGTTTTGATGCATGTTTCATTTCCAATAAACTATGAGCCCTATAATGAGCAAACTTGCATGGACGATACATCTAAGGATGCACACTAATGGACTTGCTTCGGATGCTGAATTGGACATACATTTTTCAGATAATAGACAAGGTAAAAGTTATGGTTGCAGGTCTATTACCAAAAACTATAAGGCTTATATAACATTGTATAAACCAAACTTGCACAAATGCTGCATCAAGAGATGAAAACTCTCAAATTTGCTTCAGATGCTGGATTTTCATTACATTTTCATGAAGAAGAAGTAGTTTAAATTTTTTATGTAGGTCTATTTCAAAGTATCAGATCAAAATTGCTTTTAAAAATATTTTCATTTTTGGAATGTATACTTTTTGTTGGTTAATTGTGTGACTTTGCCTTACTTAAAGACAACATTCGTTGAGGTGAGCTCTGTAATCTCTGATTACCTATGTTTTACTCTGTAAGAAAGTACACATACGAGGTTTAGGATAAGATATAAAAGTTGTACAAATTAGTCGCACAAAATTAAGCATTCTATCTAGCAATTTAAAAGATATAGTTTATCATAATTATGTACCGTAATTTTGGGATTATAGGTCGATGGGGTATATAGGTCGAAAGGCTCATTTTCAGCCTTAATTTTTGAAAAATCCTAAGATAGGGCGAACTTACTATATAGGACGAGGCTTTCTTTCCCGTTTTCTAAAGATTCTTACGCAGATACAACGTATCAGAACAGGTAAAACCCTAAAATTACCGGGGTTATTCCGTGACATGAACGTATCAAGAAAATAAACAGGTATTTTAATGAGTACAGCATTTAAATTAAGTTTTTTTAAAAATGTAGTTAAAACTTCTTTGAATTGTGTTACTACTTATTTTTCTCCAACTTGCGTGTTCAATCAATCAATGCCTCCGTAGTTTCACACTGTTGTTAAATCAGAGGCATAAATAACACGTAAATACGTTATTTTTTTTACAGCTATAATTCGGGAAATACCCGAGACCAATGAATAGCAATTCCGATTTCAGAATAACTTGGACACATTCCTAATAAATTTTATTCAGACAGTATTTACCGGTGGACGACAATTACTTCGATGTCCGCCATTGCTATTTTTCTACTCCAGGGATTGGCTAAATGACGCAAATGACCATTGAATGTATATATCAAGCAACAGTAAAGAATTGAAATCATATTAACACTCTATAAGTTTAATTTATGAATTTAATTGAGAGTACATTCACAATTTGACTGTCAACATGAATTTCACGGCTTTGTTTGTTCAATGAAGTGTAACACTAATACCCCTATAATGGCACGTGGGTTTCTTAATCATGCCCCGCAGGCAATTAATTAGATAACACAGGTGTTGTTTAACACCTTTGCGTACACAGTGTAAATCCCTTTATCTGTCCGACAATTAAAATTTTGTTAGAAGCCAATGTTTGTATACCGGTAGTTCAATGTACTTCTTGTGTACGAAGCTTTTAATAATGGCAACAAATTATTTCACTCATTTTACATTTAAATAAACATAAGACAATAAAAAATATTTAATATACTATTTCAATTTATCGCTACTAATAAATGGCAGAAACACTATAGTTGTGATCGTGAAATTTTCCGTATTTTAAATTTTGATACGGTTGCGGTTTTACTTTTAGTACAAGATCGCGACTTCCTAGCTTCACAAGATGGATGATGTTAATGGATAATACGTTGAGGAATTATTTAATAGGTGAAGCAATGTTGTTTTCCTTTCTCATCAACGGATAATTAATGGAATTTATTTTGTAAGAAAGTTTTAAAATAAATATGTTATTGTTTACCGGGGCATTAATTTTTTTGCGAAAAATAATCAAAAAAGTTGCGAAAGGGGCACAGATTTGCTTTGAAATTGACGTAAATTTTACTGATTTAGGAGCAATTTTCGTAAACTTGAGCCTTAAATAGGTCGAATTCTGAATATTGGTCGACCCCAGCGGTTCTGAGAAAAAAGTATCGACCTATATTCCGTAAATTACGGTACATTTAAATATACAGTGTATTTCCTACATGCCTAATTGAATGCAATCCAAGTAAAATATTTTAAATTTTACACCTTCAGTTGCATGGTATTTGCATTTCATTTCCACATCAGGAATTCAGCTAATCTTCATGGAGTAGAATTCTTCTAAGACAAAAACTGCTGTAGTAGATCTAATTATTCTTTGAAATACTAGATTATTCTATGTTTGACTTGACTAGACTAGTACTGTTTTTAGGTGATATCTAACTCCTATGCACCATCAATTTTGTTCTTTGAATCCATGCAGTCAATAAGTATTATTTAGAGAATGAGATGGGTTCTGTATCGTAGATACAAATTTGGGGGTGGACGTGTGCGTAAGCACGAGTCTCCACCCCCAAATTTGTATCTACGATACAGAACCTGTCGAGTTCTCTAAATGATTTGTGACACGATCGATCAAAAATAGCTCCGCCCACTTTATAACTTTGCAGCATCCAAACTTCCATTAGAGTTCTGTAGATGAGGCCCCGATGGGGAGTATGCATCCGCAGTATATATATTTCCACGGAAATCGTAACATTCGGTCAGATTAGTTTTGACAATTGAACAGAGTAGACGTAATCGAGTGATAGTCAGTCTTAATGGATAAAGTTGAGGATTTAACCGTAATTGTTGTGATCTATAGATGGAGATTGATTATGTGCATGATTATGATATATCTCAGGGGTCTTAAAATCCTGGTTTAACTAGATTTACAAAAACAGGATTTACAGAAAATTCTTCGATGGACTTTTATATCACGGATTTTTATTTTCTAATTGAATTGCGACATTAAAACGAAGTGAAAGAGACGTGTGGCTGTCGTAAGCGAGAAGGATTAAATCGTGAAAAATGGACTTGATGATTTTGCACGAGGAGAGTGGATGTTTTCCGTTATTGCGAATTTTCTTTTTGTTTGGATCGAAATTACGTGTAGATTATGTTATTCGAAATTTTAAAAAGTGATTGAGAAATTTTGACATTTTACATTTTCAGGATTACTACCGGGTATTTATAAGGAAAATTTATAATAGGAAAACATCAGCATTTACTATTTGCTATTAGCTTTTGCTAAATTGAATCAGATTTATTTTTAGACCGTGCTGTATTGTAGATACAGAATAGTTGGCTAATACAACGGAAAGTAGTTCCGCCCACCAAAGCCCCGTTCTGTATTGCTAATACAGAACAGTAAACTTCAAAGAGAAACACCGCTATCGTGTCACAAATGTGTAATGTTTGACTTACCTTATGAAACATGTAGGTGACACCTTGTGTTAACTATCGTTTGCTTGACTGTGGGTCCCAGATAACCCCCCTGGATCATGTTGATATTGTGTTGTGCTGTGTACTTTTATTGTTTATTTGTCTTTACTGTAGGTGATACCTAACTCCTGTGCCACCCACGCTTTACTGAGTGTACTACTAAACTGTGATGAGAGAGTGAAGCTAGGGGAGGCTCTGTCTAAACTTAAAGAATTCTCCAGAGGAATGGGACCAGAGGTCAGTCTAGTTGGAATGTCTCTGTAATAAAATTGTCTACAAAGTATTTATAGAAATATTGTATAAAAAGTATTTATTATCATACAGGATTAATTTTGAACTTTTAAGTAATAATTGTGTCCACATTTAATTTTTTAATAGTTTTTTAAAGTGTTAAGCAAACTTAATTGATTGTAATAATATTATAAAGTTGTGCATTTTGCATCTCCAGAGATAATTTATATAGTTGTCATGATATAAGTATTGTGTTTTTCATCAGCTATGTGCATTTGGAAAACATGAAATTTCGACAATTTTCATTTTATTTAAACAGGATAAAGGTGTAGCCATAGGTAACATGCCAGCTTTAGCTTCAGCACACAACAGTCATGCAAGGTTTTTGGTGCTTTCATAACATACAATGATTATCTGTAGAAAGATTGAATGAGTTTGAAACTTTAGATACTTGTACCTTGCATGTGTGTTTCACTAAGATAAAGAACTTGGAACGTTTATTGTAGACCTGAGCCCCGTCATCCACCAGAAAAGCAACAGGGCTTGTCCACTGTAAGAACTATGGAGGCGTTCCACTATGTCAGTTATGTCCCCATAAATGGTCGGTTATTTGAACTGGATGGATTGAAACCCTACCCTATAGACCATGGTAGTATATGCCTTAATGAATGATTTTGTGTATTCTTATTAATTGTGGATAATTTGAACACAGAGTAAATATGTGGATTTGTTATGATACTGAACAGAATTCGTACTCTCCAAAGTAGTCTTAGGCTACTGATAGATTTTAAATTGGGTAATTTAACTCTGAAAAGAATATAATTTTGATGTTTTCATCAGGTTTGCAATACAGTATGCTTGTGCACTGGGTATATGGATACATGTTTTTCTAGTGGTATTTAAACACAAGTTTATCTTTGAAAATTCATTTTGCGAGCTGGGAGGACATTATTATTCCATGTTATTTTTCAAAATTTGTATTAACTGATAATTTTGTCAATTTAACTTATTTCCAAACTCACTCAGTGCTGCTTTGATACATATACTGTGGAGTTGTCATTATAAAAAACTTTTATGCCTACTGGGCCCAAAATTGGAAAATAAAATTATCTTATCTTATCTTATCTATACTGTGGAGTTGTGTAGCCTAGGTAAATTAAGCCACCAAAAGACAATGAAGAATATTTCTCATGAATTTTAATTCACTTAAAGTGAAATATTATCATGCATTGTATACTTTAAAACATTTGTTAACTGATTTTCCAGGTCCATGGGAGAGAGATGAGTATTGGACTGAGAAGTTCAGGAGAGTTATCACAGAGAGATTGGGCATGGCCACTGGAGGGTATAAACCGTATAATAAACATATTGTACTCACATATAGGTCTGGTGAAAATTAGTGTTCTTGGGGTGAATTAGGCTGGGAAAATACTGAACTTAGCCGATCTGATACATATCATGATACCTTAGGTGCGATAAGATACATATCACAATACATTTAAAACCAAATAAAACTAGATAATTTTTTTAGAACATTTAATTTGGAATAACAGTGTATGAAAATAAACTAATTCAACAAAGGTGTCCCAGACACCTGACTTACTGCCATTTGGGTTTTGTTAATTTAACATAATCCGGCATGTCTGACGCCATTTTGACACTTATATTTTGAATTCTGTATCACCAAGATGTTTATACTTTATTTCTGTTTGTTTAAACGTCTTGATGATACAGACTAAAAATTTCAAATTCTAAAGTCCGGACATTTTTGGAAATTAAAAAAGAAGTGCGGTCAGGTATCATGATACATGTACTAAATTAGATGAATCGATTTGAAATCGTCAAAGTGAATACTGTGATGCATCGGTGCACCGGTGGATCGTCCCACTACTAGGGTGAATACAATAATACACCCATGAAGACAACGAAGAGAGCCATAGGAATTAAATTCAGTTAGGGAGGGAATGGGGCAACTGAACATTTTAAGGTTAGGGATCACAACCAGACGTTGACAGTTCGGGAAGGGGAGCTTCCATGAATAAAAAATTCTTGACAAGCAAAAAATAAAGAGGTCACATAATGATTGACAAGTCCTGCCCAATATTGTTTTTCCTATCATCTTTGAAATCGATTCCCTTGCCTCCACTTATGAAAACAAAAAAAAGTTTATTTTAACTGATAGAAACGTTTGACAAACATTATGATTTGAAAAATTTTTTAAAATAAATCAGATTGATAGATTTTATGAGATGAAAATGTTTAAATAATTTTTACACAAATTATAATTATTTTAGAGTTTACATGCATGTCTTTTACATACTTTATACATAGCCTGCTATATCTTTTACAGAGAGCCCTATCATGACATCCGTTACAACTTAATGGCCGTGGTCCCAGACAAGCGATCCCTGTACGAACACAAACTAGCCACACTGAAGACTAACAGACAGATAGTTCTGGAGACATTACAACAGGTGGGTGCTCATCAGGGGTGTTACAAGCTTTGCATGGTGTTTTTACTTATATTGCAGTGATAGAAATCATGTATCTTCATCTGCAGAAATCATTACATTGAAAAGAATAGTATTTTTGTGAAAGTTTTTTATTTTGTTTGTAAGGATACAGCATTTTTGTGATAGGGAGTTTTGAAGTTTATTAGTTGGAAAGTCTGATTTAGTATAAAACACATTTTTTTTCGTGGATGTAAAATTTTGGAGAATTTGTAAAAATATTTTATTTTATTATGCTCTATTTAATTTAGGGAACATCTGTTGAAAGTATAATAGAAGCAGAATTTTTTGTTCAGATTATTGGTTATGTAGAAATTCAATGTAGTTGTTTTAAAAGTTACTGTAACCATTTTCATTGTGTACAGCCATATATAAATTTTGATAATTGTTAACAATGAAATTTTAAAAACAAAAATAATCCTGAATAAATATTTTTGTTTATACAATATTTGACAGACACATAAAACTGTTTTAATTAAATAATAATAATGGAATGCTTTTTGTTGCAAATAAGGAATTACCTTGGGTATAAATGTTTTATAACATGACAGTTATCAATTTTGGTGCATACCTTGCTGGCCAAGTTTTATCGTTTCAAAATATCAAATTATGACATGTTGGTTTATGAAATGAAATAAATACATGTATATACATAAATTAATTAAGATCAAGTTACCCCTTCATATAAATAAAAATTAATGTATTTGGGAATCTGACAGGTTTTTTGAGATCTAATTTAAACATTATAGGTTTCTGATATCTAATTTACATATTTTAGGTTTCTGAGTTCTAATTTACATATTGTAGGTTTCAGAGATCTAATTTACGTATTGTAGGTTTCTTAGATCTAATTTACATATTGTAGGTTTCTGAGATCTAATTTACATATTGTAGGTTTCAGAGATCTAATATAAACATTGTAGGTTTCTGAGATCTAATTTACATATTGTAGGTTTCAGAGATCTAATTTACATCTTGAAGGTTTCTGAGATCTAATTAACATATTGAAGGTTTCTGAGATCTAATTAACATTGTAGGTTTCAGAGATCTAATATACATATTGTAGGTTTCTGAGATCTAATTTACCTATTGTAGGTTTCATGGATCTAATTTACATATTGTAGGTTTCAGAGATCTGATTTACAACTTGTAGGTTTCTGAGATCTAATATACATGATGTAGGTTTCTGAGATCTAATTTACATATTGTAGGTTTCAGAAATCTAATTTACATATTGTAGGTTTCTGAGATCTAATTTACATATTGTAGGTTATGAGTAGTACTGCTGGCTCAGACCTGGTATGTTTATAGCTGGTCACCAGTTTACTAACTGTGGGGGTTATAACTAGTTCCCTTTGTAAACTTTACTTATTGTCAGTAGTATATAACTAAATATTACAGTATAACCTCAGTACTCTTTTTCAGTGGGTCAGGTTTACATATTTTACAATCAGTGTATTGCTAGGTTAATGAGGTTTTGTATTTATTGTTACAGACGAAACAGTAATTTTTTTGTCCCAACTACCACTGACAATTTTTCATATACAAATGTATAGCAATAAACACTAAGACTAACACTTCACGGTGTTTATAATTGTTTGATCAATCTTTTGTTTATGATGTCATCATATCATCTTTTAAGTCATGCTGTTTTAAGATGCCTTTATCATCATTATATTGTTTCTGCTACCTGCAAGTATGGAGTTTTCAATTATGAATTACAGTCATGTAACGCTATATGTACTTTATTGTATGCATGAGTAAAAAAATTTCTTTGAAAACGAAAGCTTTCAATTGATATTTATTCTCAATATGTGATTTGAAAAAAAAAGAAATGTGTTCAATGTCTTTCTTGTGGGTCATATTTTATGTTTATTTTACTTTTATACCAAAGCTTCTGGAAAATAAGGTAGATACTGAATACACAGAGGGGATGTTGTGCCTATCTTAATCAGAAATCCTTTCTTCTCTTTCCTCTTTTTTTTTTTATTTCTTTCTTCTTTTTAAATTTTTTTTAATCATTTTTGATTCTTAATTCTTGAATCTCATTTTTACTTCTTTTGTTGCACTTTATGGTTTAAGATCTTTTTTTTATATTAAATTAGAAGATGAATTTTAAGGATCTTTAAAAACACTTAAGTTTTTACCTTTTTGCATTATCATGATAATAATTTGTAATATAATTGCAAAATAATTTTTTAGTTTCTGTGGTAGTATTTTCATGCATGGATGATTAGATCTTGAGCTTATTGAACTTTGTTGTGATGTGATGACCTATGAGCTTTGGTGTGATGTGATGACCTTTGAACTGTGGTCTGTTTGTTTGTGTGCATTGTTGTCTTTGCATGTATTGAATATGTTTGACAATGTATGATAGTAAGTAAGGAATTAGTAGAAGGAAGGAATGGAGACAGAGTAGCAGAAAGATCTCATTTTAATTTTTTATTGACAATCTAACAGCATGCTTCAATCTCCTGACTTTTCTTTGAAAATTCTTTGAAATTTAAAATTATATGCAATTAATTTTTTTGTTTAATTTCATTTGATAAATTCTAAGATTTTAAAATAATTTATTGGTAATTCTTAAATATTTTTTGAAAAGATTATTGCAAGTTTCAGCTTGTTCTATATCTGGAATTGGAACCCAGAGCAATATATTTTGATGAAAATTTCTGAAGTCGTAAAAGCAATTCTTAATTAGCCACCTAAAATATAGGTTGCGTTGTTTTTATCACAGTGACTGTTTATCAGAAAAATTCGTTATCTTTGAATTTTAATTGCTAAATGTCACAGCATAGCTAAGTACAGTTTGGTTAAAATAATCTTAATTATGTTCCATATTGTTCACATGTGGAAAACAGAAGATTACAGGTTTAAAACAAATGAGACACAGATAATACATGCCTGTCAAGTTCTTCCTAATTTCAATGATGTTATTTAAAAAAAATATGATTTACCTGTATAAAATAAAGAAGAAGTGTTTGGGACTTTCAAATCACATTAATATATGGTATTCAAGATACCGTGTTTAATTAAGTTACATGACTCTATATACATGATTAGACATTTAGCTCTTTTACTTGAACTTGATATTTGACTTCAGATGGTGAAGGTGACAAATCCAGGTCTGACGTCAGCAGACAGAGACAAATATCTGGCTGCGGTGAAGCAACAGGGAAAGCTTTCATTTAAGAGTGGACAGGAACCAGTTCAGAGGACCAGTACAGACACAAAGAAACAGGAGACAGTTGTGACATGTCCTACACAAAATCCTGAGCCTGCAGAGGAAATCATCTGTGTTGATGATTCGGACAGTGACACAGCAAGTAAACAAAGTGAAACGAAAGTGAAAAGTGAAAGTAGTGTAACAGAAGAAATTAAAAAGCCTGAGGTACTATCACAAGGAAAGGAAAAAGAAAGTGGTGAGGAAGATCAGAATTCAGAAAACAAGACCACAGCAGAAGACAGCAAAACACAGGATCATTCAGACATTGTTGACAAAAGGGAGATTACCATAATGGAGGAGGGGGCGTCAACATCAGATCTGACAAAACCACTGACAATCGAGACCAAATTCCCAGAATCCACCACTTCCTCGGGTCCTGGGAGCGAGAGTACGGACACAGCGTCAGAAGTGGGCAGTTGTTTTAGCTCCCCCAACAGTGGCTTCAACTCCTGTCAGAACAGTCCCCAAACAGACAATGGAACAGGTAGGTAAACTCTATATACAGCCCCCAAACAGACAATGAACAGGTATGTAAACTCTCTATACAGCAGTGTTAAATGTGATTTTCAGTAAGAGATTAAGAGACTGGTAAAAATTGTGTTTTTTGTGTAGTCAGTCTGAAGACTCAGAATTGGTACAGTAAAACTTGTTTAGTATGAATATGGATATAGAGGATTTATGGATAAAGTGAGTATTTATGGGATGTCAAGAAATATCTCAGTATTATAAACACTTCCTTGTGACATTATATGGCCATTACAAACTCGAAACAATTTTGGGATATATTGAAGTAGTTTTGTGTCCTTTAGAGGTTTTAAATAGTAACTATATTTACTTTCATAACGAATTTTTGAAGATCAGAATTGCCAATTCATCACTGGTGTATGAACATGCAAGGTAATTTCAGAAGGCAAAGCATTTTAGAAAATAAAAACTTCTAAAAAGTAAAGTAAACTTGACCATCAATCAATTTGATTTTACAAATTTCCCCTGTTTTCAGATGGGGCATCAAACAAAGATGGTCAATCACAACCCACAAGACACAAGAGGAAGTTCAGTGGGAACCAGCCATTTACACCAAAGGTTAGGAAGATTGATGATTTAAAAGAATGGGGGAGGGGAAGAGAATTAGATCCAACCATGTAAACTGCCAAAAACCCTGACATTTTGTTTTAAAAAAAGTGAGATTCAGTTGGTATTTTTAGCTCACCTCAACGAAGTTGGGGAGCTTATGTAATTCCCTCGGCGTCGATGTCGGTGTCCCATGTTAAGGTTAAGTTTTTTGGAGCAGTTTTCTTTTTAAGTACTTCTATGACCTATATATATTGATTAGACATGCATGGAAGATGTTTCTAGTGTGTTTCATTGTACTAGTCAAAGTTTCATATGCTGCAATTTCAGCAAAGGAATGAGCAGGTTAATGTTTTTGGAGCAGGTTAACATTTTTAGTGCAGTTTTTGGTGTAGGTCTCATATCTGAGTAACTATAAGCCCTGTGTTGACCAAACTTGCATGGATGGTACATCTTAGGATGCACACTACCAGGCTTGCTTCGGATGCTGAATCTGACCTACATTTTCCGGTTGAGTGAACAGGTTAAAGTTTTTGGTTTGGATGTCATTTCTAAGGTACTATGAACCCTATAATGACTAAACTTGCATGGATGGTATATCTTAGGATGCATACTACCAGACTTGCTTCAGATGCTGAATCTGACCTACATTTTCTGGACGAATGAACAGGTTAAAGTTTATGGTGCAGGATTCATTTCCAAGTAACTTTGAGCCCTATGTTGACCAAACTTGCATGGATGGTACATCTAAGGGTGCATTCTACTAGGCTGGCTTCAGAAGCTGAATCTGACCTACATTTTCGGATTAGTGAAAAGGTACGTTGGTTTTTTATACAGTCAGGTTTCATTTCCAAGTAACTTTCAACTCTATGTTGAGCAAACTTGCATGGATGATACATTTTAGGATGCACACTAATGGACTTGCTTCAGATGCTGAATTCGACATACATTTTCCAGATAATGGACCTCGTAAAAATTATGGATGCAGGTCTATCACCAAGAAACTATAAGGCTTATATAAACCAAACTTGCACAAATGATGCATCAAGGGATGAAAACTCTCAAACTTGCTTCAGATGCTGGATTTAAATTATGTTTTCATGATGAAGAACTAGTTTGAAGTTTTTATATAGGTCTATTCCAAAGTATCAAAATCAAAAGGGCATAAATTTTGCATTTTTGGATGTACACTTTTTGTCGGTTAACTGTGTGACTTAATTTGCCTTACTCAAAGACAACATTCGTTGAGGTGAGCTGTGTATTCTGTTTACCTATGTTTTTTATTTCAAGGATCTACTGGCCCTGCTGAAAAATGTGGAAAATGAAATCAAGCTGTGTGAAGTGAATCTCAAAGATGAAATAGAAAAGAGGAGAAAATATCAGGTATGTTTACAGTGAATGCAACACTATGGCAACGTAAATGGGGACTATTTCCAACCAGTTGCAATGAAAATGTGCATTCTACAAGTCTACATGCATGTAGCTGCAAGTGCAAAAATGGTGTTTCTACATGTAAACCCAGATTTGTGTGGGCATGACAAGTCCAAGATACATGTATGTCTCATTAATGCAAAATGAAGTGCATGGGTGTACATGTCTAATATGTAACTATGCATAATGGCCAACCAAATCTTGATAATTATAAAATTGTTGCATACCTTTTTACAAGTAAAATACATGGCTAGTCTTGAAATATATCATAAATATGGTTCTAATGAATTTAAGGTACATCAATACTCTGATAAGAGAGATAACACTTTATATGGGTGAGCAGAGGGTTTATGAACCTAAAAGTGATTGTCTGTAGTTTTGAACTTACTTGTTATTGCAAGTTATGTTTATAACAAATAAAAAATGTGTATCCCTTGCACTTGCATTGGTAATATGCATGTTTCACTGTATGAAATATATGTATTAGATATAGATATTGTAGAGGCTATATCTTTATGAAAGGGACTGAAGCTTTTCAAGTCCTCTTTATATTTTTGACTTAAGTTTAATGGGTTCCCTTTTATTGGGAAATGGAATGGTCAGCTACAAGATACTGTAAATGAAGTTGTGCCATGCTGTGTGTTATTAGGGCCCCGCAAGGATTTGCGGGTGCCCTATAGTAATCACTCTGTCTGTCCGTCTGTCTGTCTGTCTGTCTGTCCGTCTGTCATTCTTCCGTCCACAAATTTTCTTTTTTTTCCTAATAACTTTTTTTATGGTTGCCCAATTATGATCAAATTTGGTATGGTAGTTCAATGGGCAGAAAGACATATTTTGATGCTAAGTTTGTTTCTCTATGTCCCCTGGTTTGGAGCTGGGGTGGTGGGGTAGATTCCTTAACTTTATATAAAAATGCATTGGCAAAGAGAGATAACTTCTGAAGATGTTCCCATTGTAAACTGAATGCTGCTATGAGTCCCTTGGGATTAATTAGCTCTCCTCCTGAAGAAAATCCAAAGCATTATCTTTATCTCTCACATTGAGATTAATTACCACCTGTCTGCAAATGAAGTTAAGTCAATTTGGAATGCTATGAACACTCTGAAATGTGGATTTAAATATGTTTTTGCTTTATTTTTGTTAAAATAGTTATGATTTCATTGAATTATAAAAACAAGAAATAGATTAAAGAAGATATATTTTTTATTTTTACTTTTTTCCCTTTATGTAAATTCAAGAATATTATTAATTTTTAAGGTAGTTGTATAAAAACCCCATTCTATCATTAATACTGAAAAAGTTCTTATTGTAACTTTAGAAGGAAATGCTGAGAGATGGACAATTAATCCCTTGGGATTAATTATCTAGCCTGCTGCAGAAAATTTAGTAGGCTTTTCTTTATCTGTCTCTTAAAGATTAATGAAAACCTTTGTCTGCAACTGCTGTTTGTTTTGAAGTTAGGGTCAAGCCTTCATGATATTTGCATTCATTGAAGGCTGGCATTTTATATAACATAATTAGCTTCATTATTGTTTAAATATACATTTCAATGTTAAACTGTTCTTTACTGCCTAATGTAAATACAAGGATATTATTTACAGGTTTTTTAATATTCAGGAATTATCTTGAAATTTTAAGAATACAGTTGCTGTTGCTTATTCTTTGTACATTTTTTAATCATGCTGTAAGCTGCACCCTTATGATTCTACCCCATGGCGGGGCCCTTGCTGACTGGTCAGTTTTCTAGTTTGTTGAGATTTAGATTTCAAGTAACCTGTATATTGATTCATTTAAATGTATTTAATAGATTGATGACTGTAGAAGAACCCATAATTATGACCAGTTTATCTGCACATTCTTGTCCATGCTGGCTAAAGAAGGACATCTAGCCGACCTAGTTGAGAAACACTCGTTAATCAAGAAACGGCAGACGAGCTTAAGTCTAGGACGGGCCTCAAACATCAAAACAGCCGCAGAGAGGAGGCGGGTCAGAACCAATAGGAGACGGTGACAAAGATCTAAAACTGAATCTGATTGGAAGTTTTTTGGTGACAAAGATCTAAAACTGAACCTGATTGGACAGTTGTTTTTTGGTGACAAAGATCTAAAACTGAACCTGATTACAGTTGTTTTTGGAGACAAAGCTCTAAAACTGAATCTGATTGAACAGTTTTTATTGGGTGTTTGTTTCAATCATCAACAGCAACAAAAAGTAGGCAGATCAGAACCAAGAGGAGAAGGTGACAAAGATCTAAAACTAAATCTGATTGTAGTTTTTAATCAAGTGTATGGTTTTCATCACTGACAGTTTGACTGCAGTTGTGACATATGTGTTCAGAATATTTAATGTTATGAAGAGAACTGTAGAAAGAGTGCTGAATTTGTGATTGAAAGTTTGATTGGAAGTATGATTGGCAGTTTGTGTCTGAATTCATACTGTATCATGGAAGATATCATTCCTTTCTGAGTGTAATAAGAATTCAACATGGTTTGGTGTGAATAATTTGGATGTTCTAAGTGGTGTCTTTCATAGCTCATTATTGCATTTTTAATGTCATACATTTATTCTATCCAAAATTTTGAAAAATATTAATGATTTCATTCAATTTTTTTTTTTTTTGATGATATTAATTTTAAATATTGTACAAGATTTAAAGATAATGTATTAAAAAGGCAAATACTACTAGTCTACAATTGCAGTCATATGTAGTATATATAAGTAAGCAAATACACGTATACATGTTAATACATATATACATGCATGTATATATATATATAGCTTAAAAGCATTTTCGTTTACAAGGATCTTTGACACATTGAAAGCATTGAACCAAGAAATACATGAACACTTTAGACATTGCACTCTTTCTCACAGAGGTGTTTTTAATAATTATAGTTGTTAATCTCTGTATAGTCGGAGGTAATTATGAGATTTGTACTATGTGATGTCATCATCCATTATTATTTGTGCAATACATTGTGTTCATTAGGACTTTAAGATTTACATATTGTACAGATTGTCCAGTTGAATAAATATGCAAATATAGTGTTTTTGTATAAATTTGTACTGGTATCATTGCTAAGCTATATATATACGTTTCTACATATCTGACCTTGACCTTTGAATTTGACCAACTTTTTAGAGTACTTTAACCTTGGATATAACTTTTGCACAGTTAGTACTAGAGCTTTCATATTTATGCCCCCCTTCGAAGAAGGGAGGGCATATTGCTTTGCTGCTGTCTGTCGGTCCACTTAGTTTCCGTTCATTTTCTTCACAACCGTTGCACATACTGAAATGAAATTTGAAATGAAATTTGGTATACAGATATATCACATGAATATCAAGGTCAAGTTCACTTATGGGTACGATCGCACCATTTTTGACAGAGTTATGCCCCTTGGACTTAGAAAAATTCCAATTATTTGCAGTTTCCGTTCATTTTCTTCGCAACCGTTGTACATACTGAAATGAAATTTGATATACAGATATATCACATGAATATCTAGGTCAATTTTTGTTTTGGGTACAATCGCACACTTTTTGACAGAGTTATGCCCCTTGAACTTAGAAAAAATTCAGTTATTTGCAGTTTCCATTCATTTCCTTTGCAACCGTTGCACATACTGAGATAAAATTTAGCCTACAGATTTATCAGAGGAATATCTAGGATACCTTCTATTTTGGGTACGATTGCACCATTTTTGACAGAGTTATGCCCCTTGGACTTAGAAAAAAATTCCAGTTCTTTGCAGTTTCCTTTCATTTTCTTTGCATAGGTTGCACATACTAATATGAAATTTGGTTTACCGGTACATATTTATCAGATGACTATCTTGGTCAACTTCTGTTTTGGGTACATGTACAATTGCGCCATTTTTGACAGAGCTATGGCCTTTTGGACTTGGAAAAATTCCAATTTGGGGGGAGGGGGCCATAAGTGTTTTACAAAACATATCTTGTTAATACATATATTCCTTGTGACAAGACCATCTTTGGAATACCATTACATTTACCTTTTGAGCTTGACATTGGAGTTTGACCTACTTTTGAAATCTTTAACCTTAGTTATAACATTTTATCAGTTGGTGCTATGGTACTTTTTATGACAAGGCCTTTCCTGGGTTCCTTTAATTTTACCTTGACCTTGGAGTAACCTACTTTTAAAAGGCCTTAACCTTAGCCATAACTTCTGAATAGCTATTAAAAAACATGTGTATAGGTGCTTGGACTCTTACCAGAGTATGTGTAGTCTTTTCTTTGAGTAAATATATTTTTCATCTCTTTACCATGGACTTTGGCTTGCATTTGAGAAATTTTAACCTTCCCAAAAACTGTCATATGAGGGCATCAGTGTTTTACAAACACATCTTGTTTTTTTTTTTCTACTTCCACTTGGGAAAAATCCATCAACTTTCATAGAACTATTGCACAATGAAGCATCTTAAAATCTCCTTAATTTTTGTTTTCCTGTGACAAAATGCAGATGCTTGAAAAAACAAAACATATCAACATTTTTCAATTTAATTTCTTTACTTTGATCTCTTAACATGAACATCATTTCAACACACTGTCAGTGAATAACACAAATGATGGCAGTATGAAACAGCTGATAATGGAATAAACACAGATTCATTCACAAGTCCATATTAGTCATCTAGTCTTTTTATAGTATAATGACTTTCCTCTCAATGCAGACAGAGGTTTATATATTGATCACTCTACTAAGTTTTTGTACTCTGTTTAGTAAAACGTCTCCTTGTTTAATAGTGGCCTGAAAAAAAAAATTATTAAAGAATTATTCTGGCCCATTTAGCCTCTTTAAAACGATTTGTAAATTTTGAAATGCTAATGTTCTTTTAATGTAATCCTCCTGATGCAAATTTTTGAATTTTAATGTATTCAGTTTACTACATTTATTTCTCTGAAGAATGATTAAAACAAAAAGCCAGCATCTTTATGTTAATCAAGAGAATTTGAAGTTTAAACTTGAATAAAACACCCAACAGTCTTGTTAAACGCAGTGTGTTCCATAAGAACCGGCTACCGGCCAAATTGACCGCTTTGAAATAAGAATTTGTTGTTAGGTCCACAGAGATTTGTTCATAAACATCAGTCCCAGGCCCCCTAGCCTGTTACAACTTACCTCTAACCATTTACTTTGAAATAAAGGGAAAACACTGAAAGGTGTAACTCACCTGGTATTGCCAGTTTTTACTGTCTGGTCGATTTGTTTCTACAATGCCTTTCACTTTATCTATTTTACAATGGAGTCGTCCAGCTGCAATAAATCTGGCCAGCTCCCTATTATAAAAAAATTATCTTGTATAACAAGGATCTTTTAATTAAGATCAGTGTATTATAGATATCATATGGCAGCAGTCCCTGATCTTATTTGTCACACTCTTTAAATTGAGATTGAACTTAAATTAATGTTTATTAACTTCTTGCTTTGATAAATTCTTAACGATAACAGAGGATATTGTGAGTGTACTTTTCATTTGGTAGGAAGGAAAAAGATTCCATCAAAATAGTGCATAGTTAAGACACATGCATACTGCATGCAATGTACATTTATGTGGATTTCTGTTATTCTATACAGAAAGTATTGACGCATACTGCCATACATTTTATGTAGTTAGCCATTATATTTGAACCAGTAATTTTCTTCCTGTACTTTTTGAAATAAATCTTACTGGTCAATGAACTCTGTGGTGACCCCGAAAGCGTTGGCCATGTAGTCCAGAGTGAGGCTGCGGTAGGACTCCAGGAGCTGGGTGTAAGTGATGATCCTCATCTCCCGGGTGTAGTATCGGTAGTGGGGGGACAGGAAGCGGTCAAACTTCAGCAGGTCCTCCACCTGAGCTGGAATTACAGCACAGAAATGTTATCATCTACTTTATTATTGCCATAAGCATATGTAAATTAGTGCAGTTAGTATTGATATGTGTAAGTTTCACCATATATGGAAGAACAGTGAATAATCCTGCTATTTATCGGACACTTATCTAGATATCAAAAGAAGTCCTATAGTAAGATGTTTGCTATTTATCTGACACATACCTAGATATCTGAAGAAGTCTTACATTATCTGACACATACCTAGATATCTGAAGAAGTCTTACATTATCTGACACATACCTAGATATCTGAAGAAGTCTTACATTATCTGATACATACCTAGATATCTGAAGAAGTCTTACATTATCTGATACATACCTAGATATCTGAAGAAGTCTTACATTATCTGATACATACCTAGATATCTGAGGAAGTCTTACATAATCTGACACATACCTAGATATCTGAAGAAGTCTTACATTACCTGACACATACCTAGATATCTGAAGGAATCTTACATTATCTGACACATACCTAGATATCTGAAGAAGTCTTACATTATCTGACACATACCTAGATATCTGAAGAAGTCTTACATTATCTGACACATACCTAGATATCTGAAGAAGTCTTACATTATCTGATACATACCTAGATATCTGAAGAAGTCTTACATTATCTGACACATACCTAGATATCTGAAGAAGTCTTACATTATCTGACACATACCTAGATATCTGAAGAAGTCTTACATTATCTGACACATACCTAGATATCTGAAGAAGTCTTACATAATCTGACACATACCTAGATATCTGAAGAAGTCTTACATAATCTGACACATACCTAGATATCTGAAGAAGTCTTACATTATCTGACACATACCTAGATATCTGAAGAAGTCTTACATTATCTGACACATACCTAGATATTTGAAGAAGTCTGATACTTATCTGACAAATACCTATAAGCTAGATATCTGATAAAGCCTGATATTTATTTGACACAAACCTAGATATCTGATGAAGCCTGATATTTATCTGACACAAACCTAGATATCTGATGAGGCCTGATATTTATCTGACACATACCTAGATATCTGATGAAGTCTGATATTTATCTGACACATAACTAGATATCTTATGAAGCCTGATATTTATCTGACACATACTTAGATATCTACTGAAGTCATATGATGACATACTTAAGGTAGATATCCAAAGAAGCCTCATATCTATCTGAATACATACCTAGAAATCTGAAGAAGTCTGAGTAATGGCAGTCATAGAGAGAAAACAGGAAAGATCGGATCTTTGGTAGACTGTGTAGGACTTCTAGAATTTCTGACCCCTTCACAACCTGTCAAAATATTACACAGTCAATTTACCAGTATTCAAGTATAATTACATTTATATAATTTATACATATTTACATTTAATTGTAAAAGCATAGATTAGAAATTGTCTCAAGAAATTTTAAATGACTTCTGTTAAATTGAATAGTGTTTTCACAGTTCTTGATGTATGAAAG